GGCTTCAGAGGTCTTGATGTAGCGTGTGTTGTCCCAGAGCGAGTATGCTACGGCTGCTAGCATACCGACCATAATACCGAGGAAGGCCAGACCACCGAAGCCCTGACTCCAGCTACGATGCTCCTGGTAGACGATGGGAAAAGCGGCAAACATCATGTACAGGGTACCGTAAACGACAGCCATGTAGAAAGACAACAGGAACACAATAGGCTCGCAGAACAACAGGATCCAAGGACGGGAGAGTGAGACCATGAATGAGCTCTTAAGACAAACCTTGCCCTGGTCAATTTCGGTCTTGCTGCGATAAATCTTACCTGTTAGCCTGGACAGCTTCTCTGCACGACGGCGGAGAAGCACGGGTGCATAAGTCTCGGGAATGACCAGCGAGCCAATCACCCAGACAGCGCCAGAGAGCGCCGCAAGAAATCCCATCACCCACTGCCAGCCGCCATTGCTCATACCGATGAAACCACCGGCAATGGGACCGATCACAGGGCCGAGAAAGGGGGCACCGGCAAACAGACTCATGGCAACACCGCGCTGCTTGGCGGGGAACATATCGGCGATGACGCCACCGGCATTGGTCAGAGGCGAGGATCCGAACGAGCCAGCGAAGAATCGGAGAATAATCAGAGTCCAGACATTCTTGGAGCCCGCGACACCGGCATTGAAAGCTGTGAGACCGGCGTAGGTGATGATGAACAGGATCTGACGACCAAAGAGCTCACTCAGTGGGGCCCAAAGCAAGGGCCCAATCTATTCGCCAGGTTTAGTTTTTCTAAAACCCTCAAAAAACACTACGCGGAGTCAAACGCGGAGATCAGGAACGTACCGCGAAACCCATAACAAACAGTGAAACCCCGAGGGTAGCAAGTTCCTGCCCGATGTCGAAGTCGGCCATGATTTCCTGAATACCACCGGTGTAGGCGGAGGAAACCAAGGAAACCGCCAAAGTTGCAGTTGCTACCACCATGGTCAAGGTCCATTTCTTTACACCACTGAAGTTCATGGGGTTTCGGGGGTCATCCGCAATCCAAGTCACCACAAATGGGTCCTCATCCGTTCCTGAGCCGGGGTATGGGTAGTCGAGGATTTGTTGTGTGACAACACCCTGGTCAAATATCATGCGCCAATGTGGGATTTTTGTCGGAGTAGAGAGTTCGATCTTCTCTGAGGCATGAGGGCTTGTGTCTGCCATGATGCGCGGATTGGGAATTGGAGAGACTTGGGAGCGCAACCTGAGATGGGGGGCAAATAGGTGTACAGAGCAACGAAACGCTTATTTGAGCTGAATAAGTTGAAAATGATTAGATGCGAGTCATGGCAAGTACAGGGCCTCCTTATTATAAGGTACTTCCCATGGGATTGTGGCACATACGAAAAGTTTTTTCACCTACATAACTCTTGTGAGATAAATCTATATAGACAAAATTCTAATGAATGTGAGAAGTAGGCTAGTTGATCTTACGTTATATGTACGTCCTTTAAATACACACTCTCCATGATATGATTCTCAGCACTGCCTTGAACTTCATCTTGCATGTCGAACAAACCATCAAGTCTCTTTTAAACTCTCCTAACATGGCACGCCAATCATACAGAAGAGGTCTCTATATGCAGTATCTCTTCCAAGATGGAATAAAGCCAGGTGCAGATACCAACTCTGATAAACCTGAATTGGTATTTGTGGGTGCGCTCTAACAGAGTCGGATGACCGCCGTAGGCTAAGCTCCCTCTCATCTCTTAGTTCTTTTGATTTGATAATCAGAATCCACTTTATATTGGCGCTTCTTGCTTCTCTAAGTGGCCTCCTTTCTGAGGATTTGAAATACTAGTTAAACAATGTACTGGGAGAACTACGCCCGCGGGTCTACTGGTGCGATCAGTGATTTGCCAGGCGGTGAATGGATTCTGGGCCCAAGACCAAAACGAGTGCAGTTTGTGCGTATATGGAATACTTCCGTTATTGTTGCTGCCTCAATTCCCTCTCCTTGATGTTATTATTGTGTTTTCAGCTGTCATCTTGCTAACTATTGTATTGAGTTCACACAATGAAGCCATTTCCCCCCTCCCTTTGAACTGGGCTTCCCGATTTTCCTCCCATTTTTGGCATCCCTTGCTTGTACGTGGCTGAATCGACACGTGTGTCTGAAATTGCAGGGGAAAAAGCCCCTCTGCACCATTTATAAATATCCCCTATATTGTAATTGTCAAAATGGGGAATCAATCATTATTCTTCCCTCAATTTACGGCATTCGTGATTATCACTGAATACACCTTGCTCACTCTGCTCACTCTGCTCATTCCTTGAAATCTCTATCACCGATACCAACCTGCCTGCGATGCCACCCACACTGCCATCGCGCTCTTCTCTTTAGCAGTATACTTATCACATGTAGATCACGTGCCCAATCCTTTCAAAGCCACACATAGGCTTTTGACAGAGTGCACGCTCTGAACAAAAAGGGTCAAAGTTATACATAATCAGTTGTAGGATAAGACTGGCGCTCAGAAAGAGCAATAATCAGAATGGTGGATCCCAGCCCCTTTGTCGACAGGTGCCAAATATGAACCAAAAAGTGACACTTCAATCATAATTGGATTGCCTAAGTATCTTCCTGTAATAGCTCCATGAGATGTTATGATCAAATCTGTATTTACACTCTCTCAAAGGTTTTGGTCCAATCCAACCACCCGTGGATTTCCTGCCCTGAGGTAGAGCAAGATTGTCACTTCTTGCTTTGAAGCCCAAAGGCATATCCCATATTGCTCACCACCGGATTCAACAAAACGTGTGACAAGTGGACTAAAAAGGGAGTTGTGAGCTTGTGCTTCTTTGTACGATGAATCAGAATAAGCCGCTCCCTGCTTTACCGTTGCTAGAGTACTGCGGCGGAAAGGACTTACCACAGGGTTTAAACAAACGACAAGAATCGTTACACAGAGAAATTATCGCCTGGTTCCCACCGCGGATTCCAAAGACGGAATTTAATTGCCTAGATGAGGATAAGAACAATTCTCAGTCGGCTCCGGCACAGAGAGAGAAGTGGGTCTCTCTGCCTCTCAATTTCGAGAAAAGAAAACAGTGGAGAAAGCAGCAAATTTACAGCCGTCCAGAGTCTGCCCTAGGCATTTCAACAACCCAAAGGCTGAAGATCTCAACAACCCAAAGCCTAAAAGATTCCCCTGATGTAGGGAGCCTACTCGAGCTGGTTGAACTCCACCCAGAACTGCAGAGGGATTTCGAATTGAATGGATTGCCTCTGATACAGAGAGCTCTTAAGAGGTCTGTACCAGAGCAATGGGAACTCCGGGAGATGAGCATCAACAGTGGTATCCCTGGGACAAAAGCATACTACGAATCATTAGGACGTGCGCCAGATGACTGTACTCATTTGGGCTGGGGTGTTGATTCTTATCTCCGACACTACGCAGAAGAGATGACAGTCTGTGCGCAATTGACAGGTCTTATAAGAGAGCGATGCGCCGGTAGGACCCACACTGAACAAGATGTGCTCGAAGCGATGAGGAGACTAGGCGGCCCACGTTGGGCATCCGTACATAGGGCCTTTTGGCGCGTTTGGACGTTTTGCCGGATCTTCGGCTGTGGGAAGGAATGTGAAGAAGATGCTCGAGGCCAGCAACGATGGTTGTGTGGCTTTGTTGGTGCAAAAGACTTGGTTGCTGCAACATTCACACCAACGGACGATACCAGCGAGCTTCTCTGTCTACCCCCTGACCCATTCGGATATGGAAACGGCTCGGGGCTATCTATAACAGAAATACAAGATATGGCAGCTATTTGGACTTTCTTGGAGGATCTCTTGCGTGCCCACCTTGGCCCCCCACCTGTAGACTGGAGCTGGCAACCAGAGCATGAAGGTGAGCCATTATGACAACCCGGCGGTGAACCCAGGAGTAATTGATTCTAACATTGATCAGTTGAGTGGGTGTATTACATTTTGACTCTTGGTCTGGGAGCCGTGAGCTATCTGCTCAGGCAGTCACTGCCATTTGAACGTGCCGCCGAGTTAGGATGGACTTTGCGAGGAGCATATTCGCCAAAAAGAACTCGCAGGCCGTTTTTGATTGCCGCCTGCGAGGCACGCCTGCACGATTTTAGGTCTCAAGGTTCAAGAAGCTAATGTTAGCAGCTAGTCCCTGTGATGCTACATTGCCTTTGGTATATCCAACACCAGCAGCAGTAGCCAGATCAAATAACCTTACACAAGGTTGGTTACCGTTATCTGAAATTGCGATCATGACATTATTATGCTCATAGCAGACTGCTTGTCTCTCTGATATGAGATGAGGTGACCGCCAAGGTAGATATATAGCCTTCTCTCTGTGTGTGTGTTTGTTATAGTAAGAGCTCAGTACCCAGATATACCAACCACTGGGCCCAAAGGCGCAATGACTGAACGTGACATTCCGTCATCCCTGGACCACTAAATGTACCAATATCAACTAACGCACAGTGCAGTTGCACACTTACAGTAACGACCGCTTTCGCCTTCCATGTCGGACAACGCAGAGTAGCTTTTTCAAACCCTAGTCACATGAGTTGCTAAGCCGTATTTGGTTAATCTCGTATTGAACCATCCGTCACAAGGCCGAACGGTATAATACAAAACGAAGAAAAAGCGAAGTATTGTAAATGCCAATTTACTATTACAGCTCTGAGTGACAATACCACACTCACCATCACGTCATTGCAACCCTCGCATAATCGTCCTGTTCTACCGAAAGCTCTCTCGAGAGCTTGATCTCTAGAAACTAATATACATATGATAGCAAAATAGCTACAGACTCATTGAATAAAAAAAAAAAAAAAGACGGGGGCGATGCGCAGTTAGCATTGAAGCATTAATACATGCAATTGATGAGCAGGTCGGATTTACCCTAGCACTTTACAAGGAATCATTTGCAAAAGATATTACAAAGGATGATTAGGCTCTATTTTCCGTCTGCGATGGTTAATGCGTTCAACTTCTCCACTTTCAGAGCTCACTGGTACATCTCTTCTGCCTCTTTCCCAGCTTTCCTTGATTTTTGTAGAGAAGGCCGAGGATGTTCATTGTACTCAGAGTAGACGGATGGTCTGGACCGAGGGCCTTCTCATAGCCAGCCAGTGCTCGCTGGCACATTTCTTCTGCCTCTTTCAGCTTCCCTTGATCAGAGTAGAGAAGGCCAAGGTTGTTCACTGTACTCAAGGTAGACGGATGATCTGGACCGAGGGCCTTCTGCTTGCCTGATAGTGCTCGCTGGTACATCCCTTCTGCCTCTTTCAGCTTCCCTTGATTTTTGTAGAGAAGGCCAAGGTTGTTAACTGTACCCAGAGTGGACGTATGATCTGGACCGAGAGCCTTCTCCTTGCCTGCTAGTGCTCGCTGGCACATCTCTTCTGCCTCTTTCAGCTTCCCTTGGTCAGAATAGAGACTGCCAAGGTTGTTGACTGTATCCAGAGTGGACGTATGATCTGGACCGAGGGCCTTCTCCTTGCCTACCAGTGCACGCTGGTACATCTCTTCTGCCTCCTTCAGCTTCCCTTGATCGGAGTAGAGAAGGCCAAGGTTGTTCACTGTAGTCAGAGTAGACGGATGGTCTGGACCGAGGGCCTTCTCATAGCCTGGCAGTGCTCGCTGGTACATCTCTTTTGCCTCTTTCAGCTTCCCTTGATTTTGGTAGAGAAGACCAAGGTTGTTCATTGTACTCAGAGTAGACGGATGATCTAGACCGAGAGCTTTCTCCGTGCCTGCTAGTGCTCGCTGGTACATCTCTTTTGCCTCTTTCAGCTTCCCTTGATCAGAGTAGAGATTGCCAAGGTTGTTGACTGTATTCAGAGTGGACATATGATCTGGACCGAGGGCCTTCTCATAGCCAGCCAGCGCTCGCTGGTACATCTCTTCTGCCTCTTTCAGTTTACCTTGTTTGGAGTGGAGAACACCAAGGTTATTGACTGTATCGAGGGTAGATGTATGATCTGGGCCAACGGCTTTCTCATAGCCAGCCAGTGCTCGCTGGTACATCTCTTTTGCCTCTTTCAGCTTCCCTTGATCAGAGTAGAGAAGGCCAAGGTTGTTCACTGTACTCAAAGTAGACGTATGATCTGGACCGAGAGCCTTCTTGTTGCCTGCCAGTGCTCGCTGGTACATCTCTTCTGCCTCCTGCAGCTTGCACTGATCACAGCTTGCACTGATCAGAGTAAAGATCCGCGATACCATGGAATGCCCTCCATAACCCAATATTGTCATCTGACCAATCTAGATGACAAACATAATTGGCGTGTGGAAGAAGTCGTTGCTGAAGCTCGAAATAATTCCTATCACTTGCACTCGGCACAGAGTATCCAACAGATATCAGTGCCAGTTCATTAAGCTGCATCCAATTCACATGTTTGTTTGTGTTGGAAATGTGAAGGCACCAATCCTGTACCACTGGATGCATCGCATAGCTCCCTTCTTGTTGCTTACTCTCAAGAAGAGAGAATCCGATGAGAGACCTCATACAAATTTTGAACGCGAGTCCGCTTGATATGGCCTTTTTGAGCCAGTCCGGGGCGTTTGAGCTGTGACGGCCACTCTCCACTAACTCGTACCAGATATCACGGTTATCAAAATGGGCAAGTAGCAATAGGAGGTCTGCTGCACTTGGGTCACGCTTCTGGATCTCAAGATATGAGATCATCCATGTTTGCAGCATATTGCCTTGCTGGTACTGGCGTCCAGAACTTGATTGGAGCTGTAGGTCAGACCAAGATTCCCGGTAGAACTCCAAGTACTCAGTGATGCTGGTTCCAGTTTCACGCATAAACGCCCCGGCGATAACAATGGCTAAAGGCAGTCCATCCAGACGATTGGCAAGGGTAAGGACATCTATACATGTTAGCATAAGGTGTAATATTTTATAACATCTATTCAATAGGTGCCATATTACCGGGATTGCTGTCATCCTTGCTACTGGTGCTTCTTGCTGATTGACCAATGCTTTGCAGGAGTAGTTGAATTGAGTTACGACAGTCAAGCCTGGGGACCGGGAACGACTCCCCTAGCTCAGTCAGCCTCTGAAGTCGAGAAGTGATCAGGATGGAACCATGATCTGCCTTGGGGAAAAATTCCTCAATGTCATATCCATCAATAGCAGGGCTGTGAGAGGGGGAATATTGATCGATGTTATCAAAAATAATCAGCCAGCGTGAATTGCCATTCAACGCTAGCCACTGTAACATATGCTTGGCTCGTTGCTTCACTTCTCTGTCATTAGTCGCCTCACTATCCCAACCCTGTCCCGGCAACCGGTTCAAAGCAGAGCTCAACGATTGCAAGAGCGCATCTCGATCTTTGCCACTTAGCCAGAAGATCGCCGTAAACTGATCTTTATGATTTCGCGCGAAGCGAATCGCTAGCTGCGTCTTTCCCATACCGCCAAGCCCGTGAAGAATTGCAACTTTCCGTGATGGTGAATCTGTCGGTTGTAAAAATTGCCACAGATTGTCTAGCTCGTCTTGCCGTCCAACGAAGTTTCCAATCACAGGCACTGCGGTAAGGTCTAGAGGAATTTTGAGGTGGTCGACTACACTCATCAAACTTTAATTAGTCATGCATTCGAACTAGGCAAGGAGTAAAACAAGTTAAACATAGAATATCTCACCAGAGTCTGCTAGAGTATCTCGCGCAGTTGGAGTAGTGTTTATCTGATCGGTCGGAACCAGCAAGACAAGTTCTTTGGCATAGGCTGCTGCCACCGCTGCTGCATATCCTTGCCATTCCTTGTTTTTATGCGAGTCAGCATAGTCACAGATACCCCGAATAACTAGACATGGAAAATCATTCATGAGCCCTGCAGCTTCCATTTCGACACAAAGAACCCTTAGGTCTCGAGCTAGCTCGTCCCGCCGCCTGCCATCTTTCACCACCTGATTTGCGGATGCAATCAGTCCATAGTGTATCACTGGTTCTTTATAATCTCGTGGAAGCCGCAGTACCAGCTTGAATGGATCACAATCGATACATGTACCAGATCCTTCATGGTTGTATTCTGATTGATAAAGACAGTCCGCTTGAGTGGGCCGTGTAAAATTTGCAGCTCTGCGTGGAGGCATTTTGGCTTGAATTTCTGAGATAAATTCAAGAACCCGACTTTCTTCTGTTAAGTGGTGGGCTTGGAGTGTAGTGAGAGCAGTCAGAAGGACCTTGGGCGGCCTGTTCAGCATCCCTGTCCGCTCGAATCGACCGTCGCTCAACGCTTTACCGAGATCATATTGGAGCACGCCTCCAGACGTGTCCGCTGGCTGGCTCACCACGATGTCACCTAGTCGAATGTCTGCGCTGCTGCTTGGTACACCTCCACCAATACCAACCATCAGGCCAAATCGGATAGAGTGGAAGCTAGATAGCAACTGCATCGCTACCGTTGCAGCTGATACAATACCATATGCGCCACCTGGTAGGCAGGCAAGAACAATGTTGTGTTCCCCGATATTGCCAAGGATATAATTGTTTTGATCGTTTGATGGACTCGGCAGGCTGGGATGGATTGCGTCTAACATCAGTTTCGCAGCCGCCATCTCCAGCGGCAGGGCGCATACCCATCCGACCGTGTAATCGTCATGAGATAGGGTGGTCCTGACAGCCATGTTGGGTGAGATAATGATAATATCACGTGATACTAAAAGATGGATTTCTCATGAGGGTTTTCAATGTCTATAATCACATCACCACGAAAACTTAGTCCTGGAAGGAATGCCAAAGTCGGGAGCAGCGGGGTTGGAAAGTGAGGCTGAAGCATCATCGTCTCACAGCCAATCATTCTCATAAAGTGGAGATAGGCACGATTTAACTAGTCACACGTTAATTGTGACTAAGCTCTCCACCTACACCCGTTCCCGTGTGTAGGTGAGCCACAACCTTTAACAAACCACAACCTGTTAACAAAAAATTCAACGTTCAATTTTTAAACTCACTTTTTACCGCCAAAACAATGCCAAATTCCTCCCAAAAAGAAGAGATTCTTCTCTCAAATACCCTCGAAGCCTATAAATCAGGCCAATTTTCTAGCATTCAGGCCGCAGCCTCTCATTTTGGCGTCTCAAAGTGGAAGCTTCGGAACCGAAATGACGGCAGGACAAATGGAAAAGGCCGTACAGCCACCCAAAAAGCCTTAGATCCCTCACAAGAGGCCTCTCTTATTCGCTGGGTTGAGCACCTTAATTCAGTATATACACCACCGACTCCTTTAGATATTGAGGGTGCTGCAAATCGCATTTTAAAACATTGCGGTTCCGACCGGGAAGTTAGTAAAATGTATGGCTACCGATTTATTAAACGCCGCCCACCACCACATATCACCCTCCAGACACGAAAACCGATGGAAAAAGCGAGACTCGAAGCCGAATTACACAGTGAATTAATTCATTGGTATGAGGTTTTCGACCAATTCCTTCGTACGAATAAAATTCAAGCCCACGAGCTATACAACTGGGATGAAACTGGCTTTCAGCTAGGCATTGGAGCAAAGGAAAACGTCGTTTCTACCCGCGAACAAGAGACTATTGCAACCGGTGGTATTGGCCAAAATATTACCGGCATAGAATGTATTTCAGCCGATGGTTGGGCTATGCATCCATGGTTTTTAATTCGCGGTTCTGAACAAATGGAAGATTGGTACGACGGCGACGAAAATCCTTCTCATTACCGAGTTATTAAGCCAACAATCAAGGGCTGGACAGACGATAAAACTGCGATTCAATGGCTACTAGATTTCCATTATGCTACTCGAAAACGAGTCGCTAAATATAGACCTAGGGTCTTGTTAATGGATAACCATGGTTCCTATGGAACCCCGGAATTCGAACATATTTGCCAAACCCACAATATTATACCTTGGTGGTTTATTCCGAAAATGACACATCGATGCCAGCCTCTTGATAATAAGTCATTCTCAGTCCTTAAGCAGAAATTCCGAAAGAAGAACAATGAGATTGTACGATGGGGTGGAGATGTTAGTGATAAGCGACACTTCCTTCAGTTGATTAAATCAGTTCGCAAAGATGCATTTAAAGCGAAAACTATTAAATCATCATTCCGAGACACTGGTATTTGACCTGTCGATTCACATGTTGTATGTGATCAAATTGATCCAGGTTGGGAAGACGAACCAGTCTCGAGATATATGGCTATACACCTTCACCTGATCGAGAATTCCCTAGTTCAGCCACGAATTCACCGCCAAATTCGGATCAGAGGTTCTCGGAAATTGAAAATAAGCTTCGTACAATATTCGAGGATGATGAACCAGACCTTTCGAAGGTTCAGAAGCATATAAATCGTGCGATTCAAGGTGGTAAACAGGCTCTCCAAGATCTAGAGCTTGCGAAATCAACGATTAAAAAGATGCAAAGCCACCAAATCCCTATTAAAAAGTCTAAGCGCTTTATAAAAGGAGCATCCAAGTCTCCATTATCATCAATTGCAGGTAATTCGAGGGTTTCTCGGCGCTGTACGATGGAATCAAAAATAGATATTCGGCGAGAGAGTGGCGATGCAAGAATTCGAGACTACTGGCACAGGGCCAATCAGGCTCTAAAAGAAAAAGAAGAGGCATTGGGAGGCAGAGATTATCTTGATGCTGATAGCGAGCTATTTAAATACATAGATCTAGATGGTATGGTGGCTGAAAAATAGGTTTGAAATTGAAATATTGTTTTTTTTTGTTAACAGGTTGTGGTTTGTTAATAGGTTGTGGCTCACCTACACACGGGAACGGGTGTAAGTGGAGAGCTTAGTCACAATTACTTAATTAAGGATCGCCATGTTTGCTCATTTTGCATCGAAGCTTCTGGGCCTCTCTCTGTTCAACACCCATGGACATTCGTTGAATCCTTCATCACATGATGCACTAATCCATATGTGATTATAGCTGTATCTGAGGGACCCGTTTCAAAGCTGAGAGGCACAGTGCCCACCGCTTTCGCCTTCCATATTGGACAACACAGAGGAGTGTTTTCAACCCCAAATCACATGCGGTGCCAGTCCATATATGGTTCAGCGCGTATTTGAGGATCCGTCACAAGACCAAATGGTACAATACCAAAAGAATTGATGTTATTCTAATGTATTGATACAACCTTGAGAATATAGTACCATCATATCATTGCAACTCATAAGCAAAGATTATAATGGACCGAATGATGCCCCGGAAGCTTGAGATCCGGAACTGAATGATCATATATCACACAATAGCGATATATTCACCAGTTCCCAAAGGCAAAGATGCCAATATGTATGCAATTGTTCATCAAGTCAGGTTCACTCAGCACTTGGAAGCGATGATTTGCGTAGATGTAGGCAATGAAGAAGTTCGAAATTTTCAATGTAAATAGTATGGTGAGTAGCGAAGTTACTTCCTGCCACAAGTGTAGAGAATCGTGCATATAATGAACTAATCACTAACAATGAAATCAATTTATCCTGGTGACAGTCTTCAATGCTGAAAGTATTCAGTTTATTTGGAATTCGACGGTTACAATCGTAGCCTCTTAGCCCTTCTCGGTAAGTTGTAGTTGATCGTAGGACATTAGAAAACAGTTGAGAATTGGCATGCGAACAGGACAAACAGTCTCCCATTATGTGGCTGTATGCTTCTATGCTTGTATCATATGTCTGAAAGAGAGATACACGGGTGTAAGGACGATATACTGTAAGGATAGAATTGACAATTGATCCAGTGTCTGCGTCTCGATACTGCGCTTCGCATCCAGTATAAGACCGAGCACTTTCGATTAACAACGGCGTTCGTTATGTCCACCAGTTCATACCCCCCTTGTTACCCTGGAGATGCAGTATAACGTCTATTAATTGCATAGTGAAACTAAAATTCCGAGCTGAGCTATTCCTCTTCCGAGGATGTCCTATCAGGTCCCGGGATGTCAGTTCCATTTTAGGTGTTGTTTTTAGAACAGAGGTCTTCCAACGAGGAGAATTCATACCAATCAGATGAGCCGTTTTCGCTTGTTGAATCTTCAGCTGTTGGTCTTTCTGAAACACTAGCATAGCTTTCAGTACCCTGAGAAGCATCTGGAGGCTCTAAGATATTATGCACATTCTCTTGATTGCTCTCATTGGAAATGCTGTTACCGTCACCGTCGGTTGAGTCACTTTCCTCGGGGTCTGAGGACCTAGAGAAATGCAGACGAGGCTTTTTCCTTGCAGAGATATCCGAACAGAGTGATGATCCTTCTGAATCGTCATCATTCATGTTTCGTTTTTTTGTAGCTAATTCGTGCAGATCCAAAACCAGACGTGGGTCGACATGCATGTCTCGTGCTGGCGGCGTAATTTCAATCTGATCAATTGGAACCTGCAAGACAAGCTCTTTTGCATAGGCCGCTGCCACCGCTGCCGCATATCCTTGCCATTCCTTATTCTCGTGTGAGTCCGCATAGTCACAAATGCCTCGAATGACTGCGCATGGAAAGTCATTCATAAGCCCCGCAGCTTCCATTTCTACGCAGAGGACCCCTAGGTCTCGAGCCAGCTGATCTCGCTGTGCGCCATTTTCAACTACCTGATTCGCAGATGCAATCAGTCCATAGTGTATCACTGGTTCTTGATAGTCTCGTGGAGGCCGTGGAGTCAATTTAGACTGATCACAATTGACACATGTATCAGATGCTCCGTGGTCATAATCTGTTTGGTATAAAAGATCCTCTTTGGTTGGTCGTTTGAAGTCTGTAGTAGCTGTCCGCGACGTCGTTTTATTTTGGGCGTCAGAAATGAATTTAAGAACTTGACTATCTTTTGTGATATGGTGGGCCTGAAGTGTAGCGAGGGCAGTCAATAGAACCTTGGGTGGCCGGTTCAGCATCCCTGTTCGCTGGAATTGTCCGCCGCTTAACGCTTTACCCAGGTCGTATTGGATCACACCTCCGTATGTGTCAGCTGGCTGGCTCACCACAATATCGCCCAGGCGAATATCTGCATTACTGCTTGGTACACCTCCACCGATACCGACCATCAGACCGAACCGGATACGGCGGAAACTCGAGAGCAACTGCATCGCTACCGTAGCAGCTGATACATTGTCACATGCGCCACTTGGTAAACAGGCAATAACGATCTTGTGATCCCCGATATTTCCCAGAATATACGTATTTTGATCTGTCGGTGGGCGAGGCAGACTCGGGTGTATGGCGTCCAACATGAGCTTTGCGGCTGCCATCTCTAGGGGTAAGGCGCATATCCATCCGACCGTGTAATCTTCATTGGATAAAGGGGCCCTGGCTGCCATGTTGAAATATATGATGGTCGACTCTTGAGAACGAATAGCTTACCGTGAGTTCATAGGAAAGACAAGGCAGACAAGAATGTTATAGAGACCCAGATCTTGGGAATAATCACCAGAGTTTATGAGTGGAGGGGCGGGGTTAACAAGTGAGGCTGAGGCATAATACTCGTACAACCAATGGATTTTGTGCAGTGGAGATGGAATTATTGGCAGATTGCCTGTTCAAGGAACCCTATGTTTGCTCATTTTGCATCAAATCTTCCAGGCTGAAAGTAATTGTGACTAAGCACCCACCGACAGGAGGGCACGACTGTCGGTGAGCCAAAGCCATTTCACAAACCAAAGCCATTTCACCAAAAAACCATCAATTCATTTTCAACCCCTAATTTCTACACCAAAACGATGCCGTTTTCTACCGAAGAAGAAGAAAATCTGCTCTCTATCGCCCTCCATGCATATAAATCCAAAAATTTTCGCAGTATCGATGCCGCAGCTACCCATTTTGGTCTTTCAAAGTGGAAGCTTCGAAGCCGGAAGGAAGGAAGGTCAACTCCCAAAAGCCGTAAAACCCACAACAATGCATTAAATCCTTTGCAAGAAAAGTCATTGTTTCGTTGGATTGAGCTCCTTATTTCTGTCTATGCAGCTCCGACTGCTTTGGATATTGAGGGTGCCGCAAATCGTATTTTACAAAGTTGCGGTTCCGATCGACGCGTTAGCAAGATGTACGGTTACAATTTTATTCGACGTTTACCTCCCCATATTACCCTTCGTACGCAAAAGCCAATAGAGAAATCAAGAATTGAAGCCGAATCACATGGTGCATTGATTCATTGGTATAAAGTTTTGGCTAAATTTCTCGATGACCACGAAATTGAAGCTCATGAACTATATAATTGGGATGAGACTGGGTTTCAATTAGGAATTAGAGCCCAACAAAACGTTGTTTCTTCTCGTCAAGAGGAGACAATTGGAACCGGAGGTATTGGCGAAAATATCACTGGCATTGAGTGTATTTCAGCTGATGGTTGGGTTATACATCCATGGTTCTTAATTCGCGGTTCTGAACAAATGGAGGATTGGTACGATGGCGATGATGACCCTTCAAACTATCGAATCATCAAACCAACTACTAAAGGATGGACCAATGACAAAACTGCAATTCAATGGCTCTTGGATTTCCATTTTACTACGAAAAATCGAGTTAAAAAGGGAAGACCAAGGGTTTTATTGATGGATAACCACGGTTCTCATGGAACTCCGGAGTTTGAACATATTTGTCAAAACTTTAATATCTTACCTCATTGGTTTCTTCCAAAGTTAACTCATCGATGTCAACCTCTTGATGGGAAACCTTTTTCCATTCTCAAGCAAAAATTCAGGAGAATGAATAATGAGGTTGTACGATGGGGTGGTGATGTTGACGATAAACGAAATTTCCTTCGGATTATTAAAGCTGTTCGCAAAGACACCTTTAAATCGCGAACAATTAAATCAGCATTTCGCGATACTGGTTTTTGGCCTTGGAATCCCGAAATTGTCACTAATTCAATTGATCCTCATTGGGAAGATGAGCCAATTCTCCAAACGTACGGTGAATCGGGTTTATCTGACGCAGAGATTCCAAGCTCACGAACTAATTCACCACCAAATACCCATCAAAGATTCTCCAAAATCGAAGATAAACTTAATACTTTGTTTGAGGAAGAAAAATTGGATCTTCCAAAGGTTCAAAAACATATAAATTGAGCAATTTCTGGTGGTAAACAAGCCATTCAAGAATTGAACCTTGCAACTTTGACGATCAAAAAGATGCAAAATCACCGAAATCCAGTTCCAAAATCGCGACGTATAATTCAAGGAGCTTCCAAATCCCCTCTATCGTCAATTCAAGGAAATTCGAAGATTCGTCGTCGTTGTACAAATGAATCAAGAGTGGACATTCGATTCGATATACGAACTGCTCGAGTTACAGACTATTGGCGTCGCGCCAATGAAGCTCTCAAGGAAAAAGAAGAGGCAGCAGGGGGTAAAAACTATATTGATACTGATAGTGAGCTATTTTCTATGGTAAATAGAGATGGTATGGTAGATGATAAATAGGTTTAAAATTGATTTTTATGATTTTTTGGTGAAATGGCTTTGGTTTGTGAAATGGCTTTGGCTCACCGACAGTCGTGCCCTCCTGTCGGTGGGTGCTTAGTCACAATTATCAGCCAGCGCGTCTAGTTCTAGACCTTGTATCTCCCATACCGGTACTTTAAGCTTCTGGTATTTATTACCTGATTTGCTACAAAACGTCTTATTTACGCGCTATCCACATATGGATTAGAGGGTCATGTGATTAGGGTTCGAAAGATGATCTCTCTGTGCCCGACATGGAAGGCGATACCGGTCGCTACTGTAATTGTCCTTTCTTGCCCCAACGGGCTGAATATTTTGTTTTCTCAACGATTTGTTTCTTGTTTGAATACATCAGCCGGTCGCCAAGCTCTTTATCTTCTCTTCACAGTCAGCAACTACACCAAAGCATTCGTTGAAGTGATGGTCTTTTCGAAAAGTTCAAGCAAACTCTGTTTTGGGAGGGGTCTCAGGGCTGGCATGGTTTGTGACTCAGGACTTGATACTCGTACATTGTTCCTATCGTGCCTGGTATGTACATACAGGAATGGTGTGAAGATCAACTCTTTGCTCCAATTATGCACTTTGATACTAAGCGTTTTCGGCCACTTTTTCACGCAAGTAGGATTCAAGAATGTGAGCATTTCTCATGTTGGCCTTGTAGATCGCATCAGCAAGATCGCCAATGAATGGGGTCAGTCCAATGATGAGATCCAAGGCTATATTGCCTATCATCTTCAACCGTAGAGCTATGGGAAGTCCGCCGTCAATCTCTCCACAAGTTCTCACGACCAATGTTGCGAGGAGAAAATCGCTGAAATCACCAATTCTGTATGGTATTCGTGGTTGGTGTTGCTCTCCAAAGTTGAAGAATTGATAGATCAACTTACAACGGCACGAGACCAATGACACTGCCCCAGCCAAAATGAATTCCACATAGGTTGAACAGAGCATAGTCTAACATGTAGGCCCTGCGTTTGACCTTGGCCAGGACCATAGTGTCATTCTCGGACAAGCCTGGAGGAACCTCGTCGCATGCTGAATTTCTTTCTCTGGGGCCACGGGTGAGGCATGAAATTTGGGCTTTCTCTCGGGGAGCGTCCTGGTAAAACCAAATTATTACAAGTGTACCTTGCAAGATGGATTTCAGTCAATCCTGGAGTGAGCTCACCGCAGTACTGATATTTTGTGTGCCTGTGGAACTTCCCATATTCCTCTTCATCCAAAGCACCAATGCTTTGATCATTTTCGAGTCAGATGAAGGTTACTCGTGGAAAATAAGCATAACCGAATTGGTGGATGGTGCGCGAAATGTTTGAGGAATGGCTGTGGAGATGGAATATACTGAGTGGAGGAAATCAAAGTGAGCCCATCTCAAGCTACCTATTTATAGCAGTATGAGTTAAGGTGGAGCCATTCAGTGGATAAATCTTTTTTTTATTACAGTATTATTAAAGCCAGTGCTACACACCGCTATCCATAGATATTACGACAGAATTTGCAAGTCCAGACATGTGCTACGAGATCAAAGAGTATTCCAACTGTGCTTCTTTTACCAGATTTAGTGACTACAGTCAAAATGGGAACATTTCATCGTTAGAGGCCTATGTGCACTCTCCAAGGAAGGTAGATTTGAGAGATCTTCTAACCAGGTTATGGACGGGGGAAGAAAGAGTCTTCGTGAACCCAGGAGGGAATCTAAATAGAGTAGTACCCATGGGAACATGGTCCCCCTCTCTGTTGCTGTTAAGCACTATCTGCGCGAACTTGGAGCCACATGATAAATCGAAGAGATGTACTAGGACTATGCAATCTTCCAACTTAATGACTAACAAAGAAGCAGCAAATCATAAAACAATGGCATTGGAAATAATGCACCAAAAGAAGGCGCTCCGCCTCAGGCATCCCGGGGTATTTTTAGCACCATTTTCCTAGCATAGCAATCCAAGTATTCTACACCTCTCTGGCAAACAGTATTTCTTTCCTATTCCGCCCGTCCTAGGGCTTTCCATGCTTCCCTGTTCCCGCCGAGCACTGAGCACCCCCGTCGACTTGTCTGCGATGTCAGACCGCCAGCGCGCGCTTCCCACTACACCAGGTAATAGGGTGAGCATGCGCCCCACTACACTAGGTACCCGGTTCATCCATCACTATAGATCACGACCAATAAAATTTGGGAATTCTGAAAAATCTTTAGAAATACTATATATCACCCAAAAGAAATCGGTAGAAATGGAAACCTTCTTGTGGATTGATATTGTCAATATGTCAAGTTGAAATTCATTCACCCGCGCGTGTATATACGGTGAGTGAAAGTATACACAGGTCCATACAATCCCGTAGCAACAAGAGATGATGGTGCAGGATACGATCCAGGAAGCCCAGGTCGAAAGGAGGTAATGAATAGGTTTGATTCTCTATACTTGGATCAACCTATACACAGACGAGCAACTCTATAGCCGATAATATGATAATAGTATCAAATAATATAAAAGAGGAGGCGATCTGGCAGCAATGAGAGGGAGACCATGCTCCCCCCACTTCACGAGCTAGTTGGTTGTACGAAAGGCGTGAGCTCCTAGGCCCACAATATGTAAGCCTTGGTAGCAAGGTAAAAACAGTCAAGATGGTTGCTATCAAAGCAAAAGTGGAATGTATGTATCAGCAAATTCTCTATCGAGGCAAAAGGTAAAGAAGAGAGATGGAGAGAGATTTCGAAGTAGACAGCGAGATTTCCACACACCTGACCAGCACCAGTGCGGTATCATAACTTCTAAGCACAACAAGGTGTTTGAATGTTAAAGGCCGGCTTTCAAATTGTCATACTTAGAGGCAGGGTAGCTAAGATGATTTTCGCTCTTGTCCAAAACCCCAATGCCTCCTACGGTATCCACAACCTAAATAGGTTGTGATTAGTCACATGATGAAAAATCGCATATGAATCACCTAAACAGACGTACCGTGGCAATAAGACTGTCATTGCCCGATTTGTCGCCGCTGAGCTCCCACCACATTCCACCCCCAAGACCCTTGGATTTGATATATTCTCCTTTTTTCCGTGCGATCTCAGGGGTATCATAACTGACCAGCAATTGCGATTCGGAGTTGTAACAGTAGCTAGCAACTTCCAGATCTAAATTTGTCACGGCACAGCTGGGCTGGGGTAGAGCCTTATAGTCCCACACACCATTTTCCCAGCTACCAACACCAACGCCATTGTAGGATTGACCAGGACCAGCGGTGTTCGTGAAATCCCTGCCGTAGAGGGGCATACCCATCACAATCTTGTTGGAAGACACTCCATGAGAGGTGTAGTACTCGATCGCTTGGTCTGTGTTGAACGGGGTGCTCTTTGGGTTGCTATCGGACGAGTAAAGGTTGGCGTCGTGGCCAGCAACGGTGTCCCAGCTTCCTGCATAATCGTAAGCCATCAGATTCCAAAAGTCAAGGTATTGATCCATCATCGCGAGATGCTCCTTTTCGTAATTTGCGGGGCCTAGAACCTAGATTAGCGAATTCCGTTAAGTAGTCAAGAAGAAACAAATCGAACCAGCCGGAGATGCCGCGGTGATCAAAAAGTGGTAGCTGTCAGCCTCGGCTGCGCTGTAGGAATCAAGCGCCTGGAAGAGCTCAGATCAGCTGAGTGCTCAGTTGGGGAAACGCAAAACACGAATTTACCTCACGAAGACGGCTCAGGGTCTCAACGAACTGGCTTGCCTCGGTATCGTTCGCAGGGTACTATCTCATATTAGTGTCAAACGCCTCGACACAAAACCACACACCCACTTCAAAATCAACATCAATACCGTCGAAGCCGAGGTTTTTCAGTAGTTCTGTGGAGCTATCAGCGAACCTTTGCCGTCCTGCCTGGGTCTTGAAGGCTGTTCTGAGGTTAGAAGAATAACTCCACCCTCCAATCGACAGAAGAACTTTGAGTTTGCGGTTCTTCTTCTTCAGTAGGAAAAGCTGCTTAATACAGCCGTACATATTGTTTCCGGTATCGGACCAGGAATCAGTGGAATAGTGCTTGTCTGTGTCTGCCCAGGTGTCAGTCAGAACTACCTCACCAGAGGCCTGGACATTGGCAAATGCATAAAGAATATGCGTTAGTTGTTCAGCGGGAATATCCTGAGGTTGGAAGTTGCGAGCGTAAATGCCCTGGATATGGTCGCTAAGTTTAAGACACCTTTCTATGGCTCATCAAGAACCGACATACCCAGTTGATAAAGTAGGCCACTGAGCGAAAGGCGTCAGTATCACGGGTCTCAATTTGAGTTATATTGGGATCAGCCATTGCAGGGTTGTGAGCACTGGCGAGCTGCGCGATGCACAAGTAAAAGAGAATAGAGAAGAGCATAAGAAAGACCTGCTAAAGTGTCACTGGGACATATTCATATTGCAGGCTATGTTCTCTTAAATGCTCACAGAGGTTGAGGATCCATATTTGATGTAGTCGGGTTACGTACAGTCTCCTAAATTCGGTGTCCCCGCTGTAGGGTTCATATAAAGGACTAACCGGCTTTCATATCTTGGGATTAAATCAATGTACTCTCCCTTCCATTGACTTTTGCGCTTCACTGGGTCTCTGGTAACTGGATTGACCAACATGTTCGAAAAGACTATCACTGCTCCCCTTTTCCTTTTCGGTGGATTGGTACTGGCCATTGTTGGATCCCACCCGGTCATTCGCATTGAAGAGCAAAATCCGAGGATAATAAAGAGGTAGTTCCAAATTCGGGTCACCTGGTTCTGTGCTAGATGCTTCTCGGCTGACTGGGCCTTTTAGGTCATTGTGGACGACTAAACCTGGACCCCTGTATCGCGAATATACTCGCGAGCTGCCAGTAAAACCCCCCAGCAATCCACACTTTTAGGTTCTCCAACCGACATTGACCAACTGATGCAGTATGCGAAGGATTCAAGAATGTCTCTACTCGGACCGAACATCTTGTGGCTATTCTCATTGGCAGCGCTTATCTCTCTTATGTTTGCGCAGGACAAAGACTAGTTCGAACCCCAATCATCCCAAGTGCTAGACCCAGTGTCCATCACCATTTCCTCGGCCTGGTCCCTTATCTCCAGACCCCATTGACTCCGCTAGTCCCCGTCGCCACCCGCCAGCTGTACCCGGATTTCCCAACAGCAGTTGGCCTCCAATCTCTTGACATCGCCTCACCACTTATGGACGAATCAGAAAGTGTATACGTCATTAGACTGCGTTGCTTTACTATAGGAGTGGGCTTTTCCCAAGACGTGCTAAGTATATACGTGACGGGAAAGCAGTATGTATTATGAGAGCTGAGGAAAGATGGAGAAAGAGAGAGAGCGCGAGATCTAGATTTATTTACACCAGCGGGGACCCTGCAAACCAGGCAAACCCCCGCGCGGACAATACGAGATCGTTGTGTAACGCCTTCACGTCCGAGATATTGTTCTGGAAGAGGCACAGATATATTCTTTTACCTGCTCTCTTTCCCGCCTTGTAGTGCTCTTGAACTCATTCTACCCATGGGAACCTTGGAAACAGACAAGTATGTCTTCGGATCAGTTTTATTACCTACAATCCGAGATACTGAATCTTATCTGCTCAAACCTGCAACCACCTTGCTTGGAAGAATTCTATTTAGTCAATCGCAGATGCTGCGCTATAAGTGTACCGATACTTTTTCACACCGTCCGTGTCTCCTTCTCGCCTGGTGATTTGGCTCGTCTGCATGCTTTCTCGTGTTGTACTTTACCATTCTATGCACGGGCGCTTTGCTACGATACCTCGGAGATTATCGACCCACGTATGTCGTTCCTATCGAGCACTTGCACCGTCTGATGCTGAAGATTCAGTGGTGCCGCAGTGGGACTACTTCACGGCTTGCATATACACCCCACAGCAGTATTCCCGATACCAGAGGGCATTCGAATGGGGACTTCGCGAGAGATCCTTGTCCTATCGATCAATTCACTCTGGATTCGTGGACCTTGTTGAAAGTCAGCAGAAGGTCCTCCTCCAGCGAGATGACATACGAGTTCTTTATTAGTGTTTCCAACGCCTGTCGCCGTTAGTCACGATTCGGCTATCCTTCACTGAGCCTGATAGCACCCAGCTCCCTTGGTTCAGTATCCGGAGTTCCATGTACTGGGGCTATTCGTTTGCAGTCCATCTGAGGGCAATCCTGCGAGCGATTCAGTGCGCACAACTACAGGGGATTCGAGTTTTCTCGCTTGAGATCCATGAGTTCTACGCGAGAATCACTGATTCGGCATTGGTGGACTGTACACAAGTTCTGCAGCCAATCCTTGTTATATGATAATATCAAGTAAGATGTTTACTCCATATGTATGAAAAGCCGCTCAAAATCATCTTTACTTCCAGGGCTCTCGCTTGCTTTTACATCGTTTTCGGGAGCACTATATTTGGAAACTTGATTGACAAACAATATGCACCATGAGACATGAGGCATGACGTGATATATAAATATACATATATTCTCTTTCTTTATCACTCAACACAAACATTGCATATATCCATGGATCGATATTCATTATCACATAAATAATATTGAATTTCACCAGTCAGATATGTAGTCTATCACTAGTCAAATATACTTTTATTATATGTATACCTATGAGAGTAGGTATAGTGAACATAGATTAGAGAGATACCTAGGTATATATTAAAAAAAAAGAAACAATAAAAATATGTTTCCAAGGTTTCACAAACCTTGGAAATAATTATATAAACGAATTAGAAACAGATGCCCTAAGACCATGGGATTTATCTTTCCAATATTCTGCATCACCTTGAATGGAACCTTGGAGGATATTGCAGAATTCCAAGGTTGCATAATAGTAATGTTAGTATAATATTATATTTTACTTAGCTACTATACAATGTTAACTGTAAGATATACGATGATTACAAAAGTAAGAAGAATTTTTTCCCCATAAATCATCAATAGCACAGAATTACATGAACCACGGTACTTGAATAGAATTAATTTGAACAGTGTCACCTTGATTCATATGAATATGAATATTAATACCATTTCCATCATTTAGATTATTACCTGATTCATGAAACAATGGATCCGATCGGAGTGACAGAAAAGAAATGAACACCCATAAGCGTCTACAAGAGTTCTACTCGTACAGCCCGAATCAGTAAAAATATAGCCATGTCTCGAATTAGATAGTCTTCTGACCCTTTCCCACTAGCTACCGAAAATATCCGCCGCCTCATCAGACAGTACTCATTCTGATAAAATAGAAATTAGTTTGTATCATATTAATACAGTGCCGACCGCTTTCGCCTTCCATGTCGAGCAACACATAGAAGCTCTTTCAAACCCTAATCACATGCTACGCTAGTCCATCTTCGGTTGGTCTGTATTTTAGGATCCGTCATAAAGGCGAATTGTATAGCCTAAGACAAATAGAATACATACCAGAGTTTCACCGCATGTAATTTTACAGACCTAAACATACCAGGCCCATGATCAAATAAGCCAAACTTAGTCCAAGCCTAGTCCATCCCACGGTTTTCTCTTTCTTCAACGCCAACCATGTGACATTATGCCATTGGAGGGAAGCTTGTAGTGTAGTTGAGACAGCGCTGAATTACAGTATAGCCAAATTACAGTCGTTCTCGAAATTGCCTTGACCAGTACACACTGAGATTATCTTTCTCGGCCTCACCACTAAGACCTTAGTGCCAGTCAACATTCTGAGAGCTGTCTCTATCTATCATGACGAATGATAAACTGATTACCGAAAGAAGTAACTGGCTATTACATCGGGTAGAGTGATGCTGAATTTAAGGTTTGCTGCCTATTTATCTCTGAGGCCAGGAATAGAGTTAAACAGAGCCAGGGGAGGACAGCGCGAGCGCGAGAGGTATTGAATTAAGATCGTTATTTACAGAAGCAATTAGCGGTATTCCTCGTCTCCTTCCTTAGCCTCGCCCGGTGATGCATCTGCTCCGCCTGGTCCAGCTTGCCTTGGTCCTGATATAGAGTCCCGATATTGTCGACAGTGTTAAGGGTCAATGTATGGTCCGGTCCGAGCGCTTTCTCGTACCCAGCTAGTGCCCGCTGGTACATCTGCTCGGCCTGGTCTAGCTTGCCTTGGTTCCAATATAGAATCCCGAGATTATTGACAGTCTCGAGAGTCGACGTGTTGTCCGGTCCGAGCGCTTTCTCCTTCCCAGCTAGCGCCCGCTGGTACATCTGCTCGGCCTGGTCTAGCTTGTCTTGGTTCCAATATAGAGTCCCGATATTGTCGACAGTCTCGAGAGTCGACGTGTTGTCCGGTCCGAGCGCTTTCTCCTTCCCAGCTAGTGCCCGCTGGTACATCTGCTCGGCCTGGTCTAGCTTGCCTTGGTCCTGATATAGAGTCCCGATATTGTCGACAGTGTTAAGGGTCAATGTATGGTCCGGTCCGAGCGCTTTCTCGTACCCAGCTAGTGCCCGCTGGTACATCTGCTCGGCTTGGTCTAGCTTGCCTTGGTCCCGATATAGAGTCCCGATATTGTCGACAGTGTTGAGGGTCGACGTATGGTCCGGTCCGAGCGCTTTCTCGTACCCAGCTAGTGCCCGCTGGTACATCTGCTCGGCCTGGTCTAGCTTGCCTTGGTTCCAATATAGAATCCCGATATTATTGACAATGTCTAGGGTCGACGTGTGGTCCGCTCCGAGCGCTTTCTCCTTCCCAGCTAGCGCCCGCTGGTACATCTGCTCGGCCTGATCCAGCTTGTCTTGGGCACGATATAGAACCCCGAGATTGTGGACGGTGTCTAGGGTCGACGTGTGGTCCGCTCCGAGCACTTTCTCCTTCCCAGCTAGCGCCCGCTGGTACATCTGGTCGGCCTGGTCTAGCTTGCCTTGGTTCCAATATAGAATCCCGAGATTATGGACAGTGTTGAGGGTCGACGTATGGTCCGGTCCGAGCGCTTTCTCCTTCCCAGCTAGCGCCCGATGGTACATCTGGTCGGCCTGGTCTAGCTTGCCTTGGGCACGATATAGAACCCCGAGATTGTGGACGGTGCGTAGGGTCGACGTGTGGTCCGGTCCGAGCGCTTTCTCGTACCCAGCTAGCACCCGCTGGTACATCTGCTCCGCAGCAAGAAGAAGTACTTGGTTTCGCAGTAGGTTTGAAATCAGTGAAGCTTGGTCGAGTCGACGAGGCGTAAGATTAAATATCACCTCGTTCGTGCACAAGCGCTCTTGTACTAGTCTCGTGGCATGAGCAGCCAAGGGGGAGTAAGAGAGGTTTGCAAGGTCATCCGCGTTGTCATCTTTTAGAGACGCAGAAATGCAGTCAAAAACATACCAGTAATCCTTTTCATCAATGGCCTTGTTGAGTACCGCTAAAGTCCAGTCGTGCACGCAGTTATGCATGCTCCATGACCCAGACGTCTGTTGAGTATCCAGGAAATAGTATTCGGCCAGGACCCCCATTACTCCATTGAAATTCACGTCATCTGTGATCACTTCATGAAGCCACTCAGGAGAACTATCGGTGAGTCCGGCATGAAAAAGCTCGTACCAAAGACTCTGGTTATCGAAGTAGGCCAGTAGCTTCAGTATTTTCGCCGCGTCCGGCTCTTCCTTCTCTAGGCGAGCGTATGATATATCCCAGGTCGTGTAGAGTGTACGCTCCTCATACTCGTTGAGCTTGGTAGGTCGGCGGGGGTCAATGTTCCAGCGTTTCTCGTACTCGTAAAGGTAGCGTTCGAAAGTGAAGCCTTTTTTGCGCTGAAGGTATGTCCCGGCGGTGGCCAAAGCGAGAGGAAGACCCGCTAGTCGTTCTGCGAGGCGCTTTGCATTAGGATCTAACAGTGGTGATTAGTGGATCCCAGATGTGTTTGGTTGCACGTGTGTAGCACACCTGATTGAATATTCTCTCGTTTTGATCGGGTTTGTAGGATGGCGAGGCTATCCTCTATATTCTGGAACGGTTTTATGTCAAGAGAGCTGCCAGCAACGAGATCTGGTCGTCGAGAGGTGACCATAATAGCTCCATGAGAAGCTGGGGGGTAATAGTTGTCAATCCGAAACTGGTCGGGGTCATCGTAGTTATCAAATATCAACAGCCATCCAGTATTCTTTGGGGTAGATAGCCATTGGTGTACACGTCTGACGATCTCTTTGTCCTCTAGCACCCCCGGCTCCTCAACATTGAAGATAATGCTGGCTATCAATCGATAACTGTCTTTCAGTGCGGCTTCAGACACTGCATTCAGCCAGAACACTGAGGTATAAGATCCACGGCCGGACTCTGCGTAGGCGATCGCAAGCTGAGTCTTGCCAATACCACCCATACCGCCTAGAACTAGGCGCCGTTGTTTTTGAGCCTTAGGAACAGGATGTAGAGCTTTCCCGATCTCATCAAGCTCGTTGCCACGACCGACGAAGAGTTCAGAGGTGATGGAACGCACTTGACCGAGATGGACGCCAACGGGTCCCCGAAAACTAAAGTCTTCTTTGTGCTTGAAGGTCACTACCAATAACGGTTAGTTGAGATTGTTTTCAAGTTGTAGTGTTGAGGGGAATTTAAGCTTGTTAAAAAGGCCAAGAGTGTAAATGACATAGGGAAATGTATATTGGGGATGAAAACTACTAGTAGCAATCACAAAATGAAGTTGAGATATACACCTGGGCATGTAAGAGATAATGGAAGCAGATACAGCCGATGACTGCCGCCACACTGGGCCACCAAACGTCCAGATGTCGGATCGAAGGGAATCAGCTAACATGACAGCTAATCCTTACCGGATTGGAAATTCTGGGTTCCGACATGAGCATTGTTGTTGATTTGCTGACCACTGCCACTGTTGACATTGTTGGTCTGGGCTCCTCCACCGCTGTTAAAAGCTAAGGCCGTATGTTCTTCGCCAGGAGTCGAGATCTTGACAGATTTCATCTCTTTGAGAATATCTTCAAGCTCGGCATTTTGTCCCGGTGTAGCAGAATTTACCGCATTGTGATTGACGATAAGTTGAACATCTTGAGTGAGTGTAGTCATAAGTTCTTCGACTTTGTTGCCTTTTCCAAGTCTGCGAATGACTTTCGTGTATCGTTTCTCCCATGTATCTTTTTCACCAGGTATGACTATTTCAAATATTTCTCTCAATTTTCGAACCTTTTCACTGCAAGAATCAAGGATGTTCTCTAGGGCGTCACAAACGTCTGACGGCATAGAGTCTTTGCCCGGTTCTAGGTCGTTCTGGCATGTCTGAAGGATGTGGAGGAGAACGGGCAGTCGGTTTCGAACGGATTCGAAAGTCTCAGGTAACTTGACATCATTCCGAGTACTATCGTAGAACTTGATCGAGGTATCGAGGAGAGTAATGATCGCAGAGATACCACCGATCACTTCTAGGCCCGACATCTTGAGGTGGTATACTATAAGTAGTTGAGAGATCTCGCAAAGAATGTGTGATACAATGCGCAGCTCGAGAATATCTAACAGGGAGAAAAGGAGACGGGAATTCAAGCCCCAATATGTACATGGCCCCTCATCCACCGTTCCCTATGGAATATTTGAATATCTGAGCGCGAACAGGAACTACACGTGTCGACAGTATATTTGTCAGATGTGATAGCGCGCGCGGAGCTTGCATTAGTTCCCCCTATACGAACCTTGTAAACACCAATCACGTTGAAAGCGGCGACACGCGGCAGAATTATGGGAAGATCGATAAGGCAAGAACCAGGCTGAGGCATCGTCATCTCATAGCCAATCATTCTCAGACAGTGGAGAGAGGCACAATTACTAAATTGAGAATCGCCATGTTTGCTCATTTTGCATCGAAGCTTCTGGTCTCCTTGGCCTTGTATCTTCCATACTAGTGTTGTTTATCACTTGGCTATAAATAGACAAGCTATCCGTATCTGGATTAGTGACCCCTTTAAAAGGAGCTGAAAGCACCTGTGTTTGTCCAAAACCCAGGCACATTTGTTGATTCCTTGATCACATGATGCACTAATCCAGATGTGGATCGCTGTATCTGAAAGACCCGTTCCAAAGCTGAAAGGTATGTACCGTAAAAAGCGAAACGGAAACACATGAGGTGGACGCCCACCATGACATTCTTGCAACGCAAATGTCCCAGCTTCAGTTCATCAATGTCCTACTGTACATAACCTAACGCACAATGGCACGAAACCTCCAGGCCTGGCAGCGGAAGCTGATTGTTCATATGACACTCAACAAAAAGAGACTAACCATCTCACAGATGGCAAAGGTGGCCAAGTGTAGTGAGCGTTCGGTCACTAACATCCGCAGAAACATACGGGTGTTTGGCGACTCCAGATCCCCCCCAGTCCCTGCCGGCCAGCCCTCAATCATCACCCCTGTGATGCTAGACGCCCTTTGTGACCATCTCGCCGAAAAACCCAGCCTATATGTTGAAGAGATGGCTCTGTTTCTTTGGGATGAATTTGAGGTGCTGCCTTCACCATCGAGCGTCAAACGTGCCCTCACGCGGGCTGGCTGGACAAAAAAGAAAGCCCAGCAGAGAGCAAAAGAACAGAATCCTCAACTACGAGATTTCTACCAGCATAAGCTATCGGAATTTAGCTCGTATCATCTGGTCTTTGTTGATGAATCGGGATATGATAAACGCGTGGGATATCGACGGACTGGTTGGTCACCACTGGGTGTGACACCAGTGCAAATATCTAAATTTCACCGGGGTCAACACTACCAGATACTGCCAGCCTATACACAGGACGGCGTTATCTTGTCTCGTATCTTCAAGGGATCAACTGATACTAGCTTTTTTGAATCGTTTATTGAGCAACTTCTGCAGCATTGTGGAAAATGGCCGGAACCGAAATCCGTACTTGTTATGGATAATGTCTCGTTCCACCATTCAGACCGTATTAAGCAATTATGCTCCGACGCGGGGGTCAAATTATTGTACCTGCCTCCTTATTCGCCTGACTTCAACCCCATCGAGGAATTCTTTGCCAAGCTAAAAGCGTACATTAAGAAGGCTTGGTCAACATATGAACAGAATCTTGACCAGGGATTTGATGTCTTTCTCCGCCGGTGTGTGCATGGAAGTTGGTGCAAAGAAGCAGAGCGCTGAGGGTCATTTTCGACATACCGGTATAACTGTCAAAAAGGCATGAGCGGCTACATCACTATTTTGGATAAGATATTTTCCAACAGCGTGACCTGGGCGAATCGGGTATATACTTAACTGAGTGTTCCTCATTGAGAGGGGAAATCTTTTTGTTAAATGATGCATCAACAATTTAGATCAGTATCTGTATTGTGATCGATTTAATGCAATCATTTTACATTGTTATTTAAAAACATTCCTAACTATCGAAAACCAACTCTATAATATATTAAACGGCATCGAGCCAGACACAATCAGTTTTGTTGAACCTTTATGGAGCCAGCCATAGTGGGGTTATACAATGTTCATTCGGTACAGCAGACACTTCCAACAGTGGTCTGATCAGTTCCGTTTGGTTTCATCACAGTAGCCCATTCTTTTATGTCGCGCAGGAAACGACGGGCAATTCCAATTTGGATCCCTCGCTCAACAAAAAAGCCAGAGTCTGGGTCCTCAAGAATCAGTTCAAGATCTAGGTGATTGTCCAAAGTCACTTGGCATATTTTCCGAAAACCAGCTTTATAAGCCTCATCGGTGGCGCGTGATTCTAACCATTCGCAGTATTACCTCACAGCCACTTCACGAGGTCCAGGAATAATAACCTGCTCATCAGATCGAGCATTGTGTAGAGAGGAACTGACTATGGGGGTACTGCCATTTTGTGCCGGCAGAACATTAATGATGGTCGTGGGATATGATGTTCCGTTCGTGACGTTGGTCTTTCTCGATTTCCTTCCTTTCTGACTCTCTAGAACGAGGTCCCGACGGATATCGTTAGGAACATTATCATGGGTGTCTAGGCAGCCACCACCATCAACGTAGTCAATCAGTCGTTCTAGATGTGAGGCCCGGAGCTTATAGTGTTTCTTGTCCTGTGGGTCCTCCCAGCACCAATCGCACTTGTGTGGGCATGACCGGACATCACATCTCATCAAGCCATAAACAAGATCCCAAGTTGCAGGTCGTTCAGTTATATCTTCTTCAATATCAATGCGTCTCTGGCGCTCTGCCAAAATTCTGCTTGTTGCCGACACACGGCCTCTCTTTTCGACTTTCTGCGGCACTTCATCGTCGCCCCTGTAATGAAACACAATGTCAATTGTGAGTGTTTTGCCCATGCGGACTAAATTGCTCCATTTACGCAACTGCTTCTCCACTGAATTCCAGTCAATAGTAGCAGCACAAAATAGTTCCAGATTTTGCTGAGATCGGTCGCCCGCTTTGACAGTGACAGCTGTGCCTTCAGATCGCACTCGCTGGCCATTTTTCTTTTTCATTTGCAGCATTTCTTCAACAGCAGGCTTCAAAGCCTTGGTCCAGTAATTCCGCGGAGCGATAACCAGCCCTTTCTCGGTCACGCTGCCTACCTTCTTACGGTTGAGCATAAGCTTCCACGCAATCGTATAGCGGATATATCCTGGAGACGGCTCGTCATAGTCGATGTCTTCATCCCATTCGGCAAGCGGGAGAAAGCTAAGCTGGTCTGATTGGACCGGATCGGTGACACGAACCGGGGCAGGGCCAGAAGAGAATACAGATGGCGTACGACTAAAGTGACCAGGAGTGGGGGCATATTGTGAATCTTCGTCCCATGTGCGCCCTGTTCGGAGTTGATAAGCATCGTCGCTACAAACGCTATTGGCCATTTTTGAAGGAGAGGAAGGAAGCCTAAGCAGATTGAACCGGAAGCGATTAGCAAACATCTCTGGCGTCCAATAAGATCCAAAAGGATGCCATGATGATGGACAGTGGCGGGGATTACAAATAAGCTTACTGTCGATCGAGCCTTACACAGCAACTTGGTCCCGGACAAACAGGCAGATAGGCCCCAGGTGCTTTGCAGTAATGAAACTGAAGATACAAAGAGGGACTGTTGGCAGATTGCCCATTCAACGACTGCGTTGTTTGCAGGGTTTGCATGGAATCTTCCAGCCTGGAAGATCGGGGTAAATGACTGTATATTTCATACTTGTATTTTAGGATCGCGGTATAGATTACCTGGTTATCTACAAAACGGATTATTTACATGCTACCTGTATCCGGATTAGCGGATCACATGATTAGGGTTTGAAACAGCTTCGGTGTATATTCGACATGGAATGCGAAAGCGGTCGCTACTGTATTCCGTTCCCTTTGAAAGTCCCTCGTTTCTTTTACAGCCTATGAATGAAGACTTGGTATGTTTTCAACCGAGCCCCATATGGATGATCCAATGACGATAGCTCTATGGCTTGTCATAGCCATAGCACTGATCGCACTTGGATCATTCACTACTCGGCTTAGCACTCTCATGAGGAAAGATCTATTTTATTCCCTACGGGGCGATCAGCATTTAGGAGTTTGGTCCCACCGACAGCCTTCAACTCCGTGGTACCGTATGGTCCAACCGCCACCTGTGGGGCCTGTCATCGGTGCGAACCTCTCACACGGCTTTTGCGGGCGACCTGTGGTGTATCTCAGTCGCTTGCCATTATCAGCCTCACCAGGACAGACCGCGTGGTCACTTTTGCTCGCACTGGTTCATCCGACCCTTCCAACCAATTCCCGTGGACCAAAGTTGTTTAGGCCGCTCCCACAGAGCGACATGGTTGATGCTGGCCAGAGAACACCCCACACAAGCGATTCCGAGGCGCTCACTCTCAAAAATAGCTGGTATGCCTTACCACTCTGTCCTCTTCAAAAGCACAATTTGACAACTGTCGTCAAAATCTCCCGCCCGACCTTCATAACCTTGCTCTGCCTCACTAATTCCCGCCGGGTGATTTCTTATTCCGATTCCTCTGGATACCGAGCATCATTCCCGTCCTACTGCGGACGATGGTACTTGGAATGGCGCGTCGGGGGCCCTGCATTTGCTCGACTTGGTTTGCATGACTCTCATACACTATCCACAGATCCATATCCGGAAGCATTTGAGCAACGCGTTGATGCGTGTTTGCAAATGTTGGCGGGAGTTGTCGAATCACGATCAACGAGGGGCTTTAGATGTGGCTTTCCAGGACGCAAATCATCCGGTAAATGGGTGCTTGAATATGAACCCCGAGGATTTGGAGGTGCGCACAGTGGGAGGCATCTTTACCACATGATCGGTGGAAACGTCAACGAGGTAAGCTTCTTGCGCCCGAAAGCAATGGATGCAGAGGTAGAGCCTCCGGAAGGCATGGTAGTGCTACGCTTGCCTAACAAGCATGATGGAGGATGCGATGTGATTGTGTACATCCCAGGGGAAGAATGCACTGTCCTCGATGAAGCTTTGGACAATCTTTCGTGGACATTTCTGTCATGGTCTCTGCACCGAGGGCTCCGTGACATTCTGGTTGCGTTCGGAAAAGAGAGGATGGCACGGTACCGACGCCGTCTGGCTGTCACGCTTCGCGCCGCGGTCACAAAGTGGCCTGAAAGATTGGTCGCTAGAGGGTGGAATTCCCAGTTTGTGAGAGGGACTATGGCGGATATGGCTGAAAGCGCTGTTCTTGCCAGCCAAGGAAACTCGGCAGATGTCGTCAGAATTGTCACCGACATAGCAGTGGTCTTACAGAATGATCCAATGAGCGACCTTGACAAGACAAGCTTCTGGCGACATGGAACTTCGATGCCCTATTCTCCAACCCTTGATCCAATGACTACTATCGCTCTTGTGAAATACTTTGTCTTGGAGTGGAGTGTTGAATTTGATTACCAGCTATACAACGATTTGCCTGAGGATATTTATCTAGGCTGAAGAGGGCCAAAACCCGGCATCTCTAGACTTTAGAATACTGACGGTAAGGTGAGTCACTTTAAAGGGATATTGCTCGGAAAGTGTATATTAATTTTTCTTGTGGAATCAATTGCTTTCTACCCATGAATTCATAACCCCTGTTCATCATGCAATCTCAAACTGCAATACGCTCTGGAAAGTCTTGTGAGTCCAATAGGGTCTCTTGAGTGATCGTAGTTTCCGGGCTCTCCGGACTTGGAATCATCGTCTCTTGCTCTAATATTATGATGTAGCATGCTGTAGTATATCTGTCCCTTCCAGCTTTGCTTCTGCTGACCCACACGAGCTTCGGCCATATGGGTCCTCTACAGATTTTTTCCACACGCATTTCTTCTGATTTCAGGAAAGTTTGGTCTCTGTCTACCCCAATTAACCATTATCGTCCCAATAAGTAGCACCATTTGGAAGGGTGCGCAATTGGGCACCTGGCGAAGGGTGGCTTTCTATATTTGCCAGATCGGGGTGGGGGGAGCATCTCGCTGTTCCTTCTCGACCTGATACTCCTTGCATTTTTTGAACCCTCGTCTCAAGTTCTTCTTGTTGCCATTGATCGAGTTGATTTTGACATGTCCATCAGATGCCTATCACTGAGAGTTTGGCGTATTTGACGTTTGGCTTTTGCCGGTCTTTGACGTTGGGCGTGCGATGAATGCTCCATAGGCCGCTTCAAATTTGTGTATCGGTCAGCGCGATGGTGCTCCATCATACGAGATGAATTGCGCAGACATCTAGCTGCTTCGTGATCAGAATGATCGATTGTTTTTGTCAAAAAATTCGCAATTCTTTCATGGTTTTTATTGAATCATTTCTCCGTTTTTGGAGGGGTCCTTTTGACACTTGATGAGCCTGGAGTCTCTTCGGCGTATTTTGCTTGCCTAATGGTTGATTTGGAGGAATCGATCTTTAATTTGATCAAAATCAACTGGATAGACATCGCAATCTTTCACAGCATCACAAAATCGCAGATGCCGCGCTTTTAATGTACCGATAATTTCTCACGGTGTGCATGGCTCCTCCTCCCTAAGTGGTGTGAATAGTCTCCGTGATTTTTCGTGTTCTACTTTGGAATTTAATGTATGATTTCTTTGTTATGTTGCCTCAGAGATCATTGATCCAGGCATGTAGCTCTTCCCGAATCTTTGCACAGTCAGATGATTGCGAGATGCTAACAGGATGGCTCGGCGCCCGTGCTTTTGTGCGCCGGATCAGAGTTCTGCATTGCTGAGTTTATCTGTTGGCATTTCTCATAAATTATAAATTCCTCTCCAGGGCTGAGTCTAAGTCTTCCTCTCTAACTACCACTCTTTTCGCCTGTACATGCTATTATTGAATAACTGACTCGATTCCTTCTGTCATTATGAAAGACCAAACCCGGCCCAAAACGCCACAGGAGAAGATAGGTTCCAAGCCGCTAAGCAAACTCGAGGAATACCAGCGTCTATGGGAGCAAATTTTGGAAAGCACAGATATCCTTATCCGAAGGATTAAGGGTAGAAAGCCGTTTATCCCTCAATTGTTTGGTAATAGAAATTGACTGGGAACTTATTCAGATGAAACAAAGGCTCGAGAAACTGAAGCTACTCTATCCCCCCTTATTGGAAGTTCACGTACTTGAATCACCGATGCGATTGAATTTCGGTGGCTTCGTCAACTTGAATGTGTCCTGGTTGATATATCCTCATGGGACATTTTTGGTCCAGACAAGGATTGGCTCACGAGCCTCGTGGTTTCGGAACTTGAATATCGATAAATTACCTAGTCAAGAGAGAGAAGAATGCGTTGGCGGTCTGACGTCGCCGAAAGGTCAATGAGGGAAATCTCACGAGCATCAATGGGCAGAAGTATACAAATGCATCCATGGATATTGAGAATTATGATCCTGGAGACCGTAAAACCGGGAGGAAAAGGACTGTGGATTCCAAATTCTACATGATGATGCCTACATAACTATATGCAACACTTGACTAAGCATTGCTCACTTCCAGAGCTCTAGGGCTGATAGTGTCGTGATTTTTCCACTACACTAGGTAATACACCAAGAAATCGGAGATCTTATTACAAGGGCTTTCTGGATCTACACGCTCTCTCACGAAGCTCGTTGAGACGAAACCCAGTTCCGTACTGATGGTAGTAGTAGTAGAGTTGATTAACGTCCGGCTGGAATAAGCGAAGCTTGCCCCTGCGACCTCTCTTGGGATATTCGGACGCAATGCTATGGACTTATTATACGAAATTTGTTCCCCCACAGTTTGCAGTTCTTGCATCCTTAGATGCGAGGGCAATACGCCAGTTGATAACACCCGTCTTCGACATGTAAAACAGACGTTCTAGTGATTAGAGTTTCTTCCGGAACAAGTTCAGAAGCAGCAGCGCTGCTGGGGCTTGAGGGAGAGGGCTCTCCAGTTGGTGTCACCTCAGTGGGCTTGTAGACGCGAGAAAATAGTAGAAAATCAGAAAGAGTCGCGGACGAACAGTAGGAAAAGTAAAGAGAGAGAAGTAGTCAGATATATATATCTGACCGAGGGAGGAAAGAGAGGCCAAATGAGAGGATTACCTCGCACAGACTCGGGCGTTGAAGCCCGGATTCCGTACAGATAACGGACAGATGTAGTAACAAAGCGCCTGTGCGTTTGGTGATTACTAGCTTTCATGCTTGGAAGAGCATGAAGTAGGATACGAGGAGTCGGGGGTTGGAAACGATTATTTGTGGTAGAAATTGCAACACTGGGAGGATTGAGAGTGAATAAATCCAAAATTGGTCTGTTATTACTGGATATCGAGGAAGGAATTCTTAAGACGTGTAATGATACATATGTATACTGTTTAGTACTTTGATTCTTGTTACCATGCAAGAAAGCCTGGACAAAACGTGAAATACGGGGTTCGTCATGTAAGGTTTAGCGTTCCATGTGACTAAGGTTTGATACAGCATCTCTGTGTTTCTGACATGGGAGGAAATGTGGTCTAACGGTCGGCACTGTATTATAGAAAAAAAACCAAATAATGTTCTCGCCTCAGTGGTACATTCTCGCGACTCGACCTTCGACTTCAAGGCTCCGTAGACAGTCGTTCACCGGACACCTGTAGCCGCTCTGCAACCTTGGAACCTGACTTTGAAAGGAGAGATCTTCATCAACCGCAAGGACGATATCTCTCTTAGCCTCAATTGCGCATGGTGATAATCTGGTGGACCGCTCGACTCTCCCTATTGAAGTGTAGCACGAAGGCCCACCTCAAGTCTCAGATGGTCATCGCGTTTTAATCTCACTTCTAGACTCTGCCATTCCGAGCTGACCATCCAGAAATGCCACTCCCGTCGAATCCAGGTAGCTCGATCATTGAATTCGAACTGGGCTCTTCGTTTGCCAATGAGATCAGCTTCATGTCTGGAGAGCCCCGTTTCCTTCCCCAGGCAGCCATCGCAGACAGTGTGAACATTGATCTTTCTCTTGTATGGAAGCATATGGGACCAAGCTGCAACGTAGCAGGACCCAGGATCCTCGGTGAAGAATCGAACCCGGGAAATCCGGGTGGTTTGATCCGCACAGCAGACGCATAACCGGTGAATAGTCACCCGCATTCTGCGCAGCTCAGTTCCCCAGATCGTTCCTTGCTTGAAAGGAGTGCCGACTTCCCTAGGGCGTCTGGCTGCAGTTATATATTTATTCGCCACTCAGAACAAACTGTAGTCCAGATAGCAACATACATTTCCCAATGGCAGTGGAATTTGTGGGTGTGGTGATCGAGACACACAAATGATCCTGCCAAAGGGAGAAGTATGACATATTCACAGATGTAATTCTCTCACCATGAGCAAAGGTTTCGTGTATAGATTATCACCTAGGATCGATTTCACCTCGAGAGCCATTTGAATCCAGACGCCCCTTCGGCCACAAACATCTATACACCGCTCGAGTACTTGGTTGGAATCCACTATGAAAGCAAATTTAGCAACCTCTAGTGCTGGAAGTAATCAAGAATCTTCCAGCAAATTCTATTTTTATGATTGACAGTCCTAATCTTCGAGGCTGCAAAGAGTTGCTTACAGCGGTAGCAGTAGTAGTACTCATTTACACCGACCTCTCGCCAAAACGATATCGTTAACTAAATATGCTTTCTCCCAGGACAAATCGGGAAACAGGGTCTTTTTCTGTTTAAGTGATAAAGGTTTCCATTTTCTGGACTAGTTTTTGCGAACCAATCTTGGAACGTTTCCTACAATAGACGTGGTTAATGGAACAACCCTTGGAAGGCCGTATATGTCCCGAGTTCTAAAGGTTGCTACCTATCCATTCAAGAAAAACTAGCGATTGCGCGTAGTTATTGGCCCACCCTCATTCGGGCAAGGGACAAATATCGTATGGGATATGCTCCCATCCTGCCACGTCACCCGTGAACTGATCTCGAATCCCTGACAATCTTTCTTGAAGCTTGGCCTGTAGACGGGGTTCTATCGGGCGCCACGCTAGCAAGATCTGTGCCAAATGTGGATTTATTTCATGGCGAAAGAGCGAGGTCAGGCCAAAGGCATAAAGTTGAGCGTTCGAGCCTACCTCTGACAGAGGCTGTCTCGCCCAGCTGGATTATGCCTGCTTACCAGGGCTTCGGCGCCAATGTTGTTCTGGCCGCCTTCCAATTCATCACACAGATAAGAGCAACCCCGACCGAGGGATGTCGCAATCTCCCCGAGAGCATGACCGGTCATTCCCCGCGCACATTGTCAGCGTCCTATTCGACAAGTCCGAGCGTCTGGAGTTGGGAAAGGATGGCTACGTCCTCAGTCCCACTTGTCGTCCCTACGGACCCGTCCATATCAGTGAGCAAGTCTTCTTCGGACATTTCGCCGACCAATACCAACCTGCCGATGATTGGTGACAGCGGTGAATATGCAGGGTCTTGTGGGCGCTATGCCATGTGCAATGGCAGCATCACATATTATGACACCGCGACCAGCGTACTCAGTCCCAGCTCGTGTGGCACCACCAACGATGGAAGCTCCGAGGATGTTGTGGCCTTACCGCAGGGAATCATGACGGACGAGGACTGTGGACGCACTGTTCTCATCAAGTTCCACGGCACTGACTTCCGGGGCACTGTGGTTGACAAATGCATGGGATGCAACAACCAATCTCTCGATTTGTCGCGGCATCTGTTCGCTTTACTCGCGCCGCTTGACGAAGGACGTGTCCACGGGGTCGAGTGGTATGTCCAATAGTCTTGGATTTGTGGTATGTCACTGAGCCTGGAATTGTAGGGGGCTGGGTGGCAGCAACCTTGGAATTAGGATCCTTGATTAATGAGGGTCAAGGGAAAGTGGCAATGAGAACAGTAGATAGTATCCAAAACGGATTCCTCAGCACAAGCCTGCAAATCTACACTCTGTATTTCCTCTTCCATGGCTTTGCCAAGACTTTGTTGGGCCAATTATGAATGCTTGATGATAGCTTTCTTCCGTCACCAATCTATCCTCAGTTCTATTAAATAAAGGGAGGAAGTGATGATACATACAATTCTACGACTGATATGGACTCAGTTGGCGTCTCGATGACATGAAAATCCATATAGATTGACAAGATACCTTGAAAATAGAGGTATACTATCACGGTTTACTCGACTACTCTAATCTGTGATAACTGCGCTGTGTATTAGCCGATGTTGATAAATATAGCCGTACAGGGATCACGGATCACCATGTTCCGTCATATGATGGGTCAAACAGCAGCAAAGATGCCTAACGATTCGGTGGGTGGAGCCATATTCGGCTAGAAAGGGATTAACACAGATGTTCCAATATGCTTCGATGCTTGACATCGCCCTGAGTCACAAGTAGACGAGTGTGGCTCTGAGTGGCCCGATGGGGTTATACGAGGCTAAGCGGAGGGACTAGTTGCGATCCGTTCTACAGATTGGCCTGGTCGGTAAGACGTGGAGGACTGCTATCTATGACCTGTTTATTAATGGATTGTTTATTCGATCAAGTAATTGCACAGTGTCCGAAGTTTATTCATGGCATTCTAAAAACAACACTCCTTCACGGGGCACTTGGCGAGTCTTTTCCGTCACTCATGTTTTGCGAGGGATCCCAAGCTACTGCGTACAACAGAGTTGTTTTTGCCCAACGCCCTTCGCTTGCGAGAGGACTAATCCAGCATCAGCTCGTCGCTCATGGTGAGCTGTTCTTCTCCATTGAGGGACTCCTCAAATTGGATCTCATGCTTATTGGTGTCACTGGCCGTGAGCCCGAAGACATATTATGTCGGAAGCCTTCGCAGGCTTGCCGGCTGATTGACATTGACTGTGATGAAAGGCACAAGCCGACGTTGTTCTAGAGTCCAGAGCAAGCCTCGGCATCTCAGCCCGGCGGAGCTGGCGCAACTGGATGACATCGCGCTAGATCTACTTATCGACAGGATGACGCTGCGACAGGTCAATTTTCCGGCAACGACGCGTAAGAGTTCCACGGCGTATCTGCCGCGTCGACCCGTCCGCAAGAGAGTGTTGTCGAAGATCCTTGGCGCCGAGGGACGATTTGACATCCATCAGATCCATCGCCGCATCTTACAAATAGCTTGCTTGGAGGGGTCTGTTCCAGTAAGCGGGATCGCCGACGAACGGTTCAAGTGGTTCAGCACGCAGCTGAAAAGCTATCTTCAGATCTACAATCCCAAGTGTCCTTTTCAGATTGCCATGTCTGAACATCTCCCTAGTACGCACCCTGAAGCTGCGGTTTTTGCGACGCGCGCCTTCACAGTGGGGGAGCCAATTCAGTTCCTCAGCGGGGTCTGTGTGCCCTTGACAAAAGAACACCAGCTGCAACTCGAAAAGGCGGGTAAAGACTTCAGCATCCTCCAGTCGCCTTGCAGTCAAGCCCTTGCAATGTTTCTCGGCCCTGCTCGGTTTGTAAACCACGACTGTCACGCAAATTGCGAGATTATTTGGGCTAAGGGGCGCAGGGCCATCATCGTGCCCCTGAAAGACATCCACCCCTGTGATGAGATTACCGTATTCTATGCAAAAGACTATTTCGGAGAGAATAACCAGCACTGCTTGTGTCGGTCGTGCGCACGAGCCCGATCGTCTCCGGACGGGTGTTGACTATTTTAGTATGGCAAGTGGGTATCCCTATCTCGAATCGTTCCAAGGTTATCGTTTCAGATCGCAGACTCCACGCTCTCCCGAACCAACCACTAGCCTAATTAGGCTTGGTTCGGTCAAAGTGGGGCGCTGGAACAGAAAGCGTGTGTTGGCTCGAGGGGAATCTGTTTTTGACTTCTATTGTAGAGGGGGGAAGGAAGGAGAGAGAGAAGCGGTGGAGATTTTTTCCAATCATGTGCCGAGGCGTCGGACCTCGAATCATCGTACAGAGCAAGTTGTGAATCCAGGCTTCATGTCCCAGATTAGGGATTACTGATCCCCTACTCCGTAATCCCGCCCGCCCGCCTACGGCAGGTCCTAGTGCCCAGAAGGCCCTTTCGATTTCTGCCACATTACTACACTGGATTCTGCCACTTTACTACGTCCGATCATCTGATTGAATAAAATTCCATTCACTAAATCTTCCTCCAGGGCTTTTATATACTCTTTTTACATTGATATGAAGAATATGTGTTCAAGTGATAATGTTTTATTAAATAAGTTCTAGAAATAAGTCTCAACAACTATAAAACTTGAAAGAGCGATATTGAGAATTGAGAATTGAGAATAGTGAATTTATTACTGTGAAGGTCCACGGGTATTACTCTATACAATATTTGTATAAGATAGATCACGTGTACAAAGTATATTACGAAGTACTCTGTACGGTATCAAAGTCCCGAGGTCACGAGATCCTGTCAAATCTGGCCCCGGGGTTATGTATTGCTGACAAAGTGTACGTAATATCGGATGGATCCAGGGCTCAAGTACTAGGACTTCAAAACTAGAGTCTAGGATTTTAAAGATTATGAAACCAGCTTTTATCATCTTTTATATATTGAATAAGACTTTAAAAAAATTAATCAATCAGTCGCTATTCATTGAATAACGATAAACTGGAAGTACGAGGGGTGAATAATGGTTTAAAAATGGCAATCTAAAACTGAGCAAGCGGTAAGCAAAGCGGTGTAATATGCAATGTAGCAAAAATCGAAAGGGCCTTCTGGGCACTAGGACCTGCCGTACTACAGCGGGCTCCAGTGCCCACCTAGCCCTTTCGATTTTTGCCGTTTTCGAACATTGCGATTCTGCCACTTTGCTACATCCGACCATCTAATCACGTAAAATTCAATTCACCAAATCTACATTGGATATGGTCTCTTTGTATCGAGAAGAAGAATCTGATAACAATATTCAATAAGGTAAGCTCTAGAATTAAATGTTTACAGTTCCAAGGTTGTAGAAAAGAATCAAGGTATATTAAGAATTGAGAATAACAAATATATCACTCCGTACCCTAAAGATATTACGGAGTCTATAGTTACTGTATTATTTAATACACCCTCGTAAATCACGTGTACGGAGTACGGAGTACGGAGTAACTAGTCTAAAGTCCCGGGATCCTGTCAAATCTAGTGCTGACTTGCTGACTAAATATACGTAACCTTCAAGAGTCAAGTGCTCCAGGGCTCCAGAGTCAGAGCACAGGGTTTCCCAAGGTCTAAGGCTGTATGAATTCATCATGTTATATTAATTTTGAATAACAAAAAACTGGGAATCGAGAGGCAAACAATAGTCAAGAAATACTCCGTACCCAGGTGGTAACAGATGCAAACTGAGCAAGCGGTACGGAGTAAGCAGCGGTGTAATGTGGAATGTAGCAAATACCTAGGTAACGAAAGGGCTAAGTGTGCACTAAGACCTGCCGTAGCAGTCTCACAACGATATGCCAACACTTGCGTGATAAAGGATGTTATCAATAACCAAAAAAGTTCAAAACACCAGTTCCTAACAATATCCTATGCTGGAGGAAAATATGTGATTTGCGTCTTCGTTCGAACACAGAAAAGTCACTGTCAGTAAATATTTTAAACTTCAAACTTAGGGTTGTCGAATATGTGAGAGAATCTCCAAACTCCAGGAAGATTTAGGTATATGGTTGAGCGAGCTCTCGCTTGTTCTTCAGGTAACGTCGCTCATTACTCGTTTGCGCAATCTCGATCACTTCTCGTCGGTGTACCCTCTTTGCGCATCTAAAGCCCGGGCGGTCCTTTCTTCTTTGGACCCTCGTTTTCTAAACTTGAGCTTCCTTGTAGTGTGCTCCCTAATATAATAATCACAATACATACCTATAAACTGCAGGCTCGCTTATCATGGAGATCAAATGTTGGGAATGGGGGGCATGCTCCGCGATGTCATAGGAAGCTGGACACATTGGACGTTTGGCATTTCAAATGTTCTCCTTGCCCGCTACAAAACAAGGTTGATGTCCCGATACGCCCGGCGAAGTACTCAAATCGGGCTCCTGAGCCGAACAGGAGGTAGGCCCGAATAACGAAATCTGCCAGGATTATGTTTCCACTGGGGGACCTGTGGCATTTTGGTACAACCTTGGAAGTGTGAGGCAAAGTAAGGCAAAGCATATAAAGGGATGAAAGTCTCCCAAGTGCCGAGGTGGGCCCCTAGCTCTCTACGCTCATCGTCTCCTGTTGACTCTTCAACACGCTGTCTCTGAAGCCGACGGGTATTCCAACTCCCACATAACAGCTTTGATACCGCACCGAGATGAAATCAACCCCCAGTACAGAATTCAGCATATGGGAGGATTTGGGGAGCCCGCAAAAGCCGCGGTCGACTCGGAAATCGCACAAGCCGACAAATTCGGCGAGTGCGTCGCCAAATATTACCGCATCAGTTGCCACTAGGTATAATAAGCGCACCAGTGAAGGGCGACCAACGGAGCCGAGACGCCCGAGTTCGATCCGGCGGGGTGTCCGCCACCAGGCCGTTCAGCAGGAGAGTACACGACCACCACGTAGAAGCCTCCCCGTGGTATTTAGCATCAGGAAGCCGATACGGTAGACAAGGTCCAGCCGTACTCTCATCCACGCAGGGTATGGCACCCAGGGCGCGGTATGATTCATTCATTGTGACATATGCAGTGTTGTCAATGCTAAGCGAGGCTCACTATGCGCAAAAAGCGGTGATCAGATCCGTGTCTTCAAATCCTTCTCAGAGTTGAATAAAAGTACAAATCTCCACAACGGGTCCACTGATATCGCAATTTATGGTCTCATTACAGGCCATGCTCTTTATATTTCCGGATTGTCTAGAAATGCATGCACAGCAAGATGATATCCTTTGCAATTGGAGCATACCTGAGCATGTTAAAGCGTAATTGTCAATACTCGTCTTTACTCCGCCTACATGCAGGTTTTTGTCTTGTGTGGAGTCTCTGATCCTCGGCTGCCAGTTAGCCAAACAATCCATAGATGTAAGCCACCGTACTTCAACCTCCTACATCTCGGATGTCTGGTGGTATAAGCCATACAAATATGAAGCCAGGCTTGGGCTCTATGGGCATATTCCCTGGTGAAGACTCAGATCTGTTTTCACATTCCATACAAATGCCCTGAAGTTTGCGAGGATGTTTAATGACGGGAAAACAATATGTGATGTGAGATTGGAGGAAAGAGGGAGGGAGAGAGAGAGAGAGCGACAGATCAAGATCCATCCCATCTACACCAGCGGGGACCCTGCAAACCAGGTTATCACCCGAGCCGACATTATTTGACTCCAGCGTCTTCCTATTGTGATGTTGACGCTACCTTTGTGTGAAGCCAAGATATGCTAACCCTTTTCAAGGCCCATGTCACAACATCCCTCTTCGCGCTAATGGTGGGATCGTATAGTATAAAGATATGTAGCGACGCAATGAAATTCTCTTTACTTTTTCCATCAATCAAAATGCATCGTCGACTCATGCTGGTCGTGCTTGGGTTATTGCAGTATTCAGGAGCCCTGATAGCCTCGGACCCGGCTCCTCTTGCACTACACCAACAAGTTCCACGGTGTCAAGAAGAGAGAGTAGCGGTGATCACAAAACGCTCTATATTGCGTCTTGCTAGGGACTTGATCACTATCACGGTTACGTCGACATCGACAGATACGACTGACTGTACCTGTACAGAAACGTCTTCCACGGCGTTTGTCAGTACCGATGTGAGTATTACATCAGCCTCCTGGCTGCCAACCTCCTCACCCTCCGCTATGGCGACAACAACAAGCACAATCGAGCCAATAACCACTGAACCCGCTACAAATTTGAATCCCGTCACCTCGGTACCACCTAGCGTGATCACTGCCGATAGACCGACAACAGTGATAGACTGGAAAAGCACGACAGCTACAAGCATCGTCACGGTCGAATCAGTGGTCACAGAAGCCGGCACGAATGCGAAAACCGTCATCTCGGTGGTACCCAGCGTAGTCACCGCCGAAAGATCAACAACGGTGACGGACTGGAGAAACACGCTACTTGGCAGCAGCGTCGCAGTGGCGGATGTATCGTCAGCCTCCTCCGATCTAGGCGCTGTACTCCTAGATTCTGCTTCAACGTTCCTACCTGCTGAAACCCTTCCGAGAGCAGAAAGCACAGATTCAAGAGTCAGCACTCTAGCTATCCCGAGTGGAGACTCGTCTCCTAAGAGCTTCACTACAGTAACCGTTAATCACTACAGCAATGAAGTCCAGGCTGTGACCAGAAGCGTCTATGAGACACCTGATGTGACTTTGTCCCTAGAAGACAGCCCTACAGCATTAAGTACAAACGCGGAGGTTCCAGCAGATAAGGAGATCGGAGACAAGCCAGACTATACAACCGTCTTCACCAATGATAATCGAAAGACCGGGAGTCAGCTCGAGACTCAAAGCCTTATCAATGCTGACACAAGCACCTGGTCGAGTCTCGGGGGGGTGGGGGACCCACCGCCCACGATGGCCACGGATCCGTCTCAGGAAGCAATGTCGGGGGCCCCAAAGACACAGATATCGGCGACCACGGCCTGGACGGAAACACCAGTCACCCCATCCGGTGAACTTTCTTTGCTAGCAGGTAGCCCTAGCAAAGTGACAGAGGCGGCTGTGGTCGGAAATTCGGCGTTGCCGACCACTTCCCTATCAGGTGGGGGAGGCCAAGTCCCCGGGAGGAGAAACCGAGCTAACAGAGTCAGGGCCTTCGCTCTCGATCTGCCCAAGCAGAATTATCAACCCAACCTTCACGCCTTTGGCACCCCTCCCGAAAAACTATACCTGGGGGTGTCCGCCTAGTCTTCTCTGCAACCCATCCAAACAACCAGCGGACGGAGAATGCAATTTTGAGGCTGGGCCGCCCGCAGACACGTACTACTGTCGACCGGAAGAGTGCATACGAAGCCCCACGCTGACTCTTCCTGTACTCTCGGGCCCACCCGCGTCATACGAGCGGACAGAACACTACAACGTCACCCGCGGCTATTTCAACCTGAACCCCACCGAATTCGGTCTGGGCTATGATATATTCGATATGAACGACGCGGCCGGGGGGTGGAGGCGAGACTGGTCAATCAAAATACCAGGAAAATGCTATGTCGGGTGCAACAATGCAATGCTCGAAGCCGAGTCGAGCGGCAAGACCGACGATCTTTGCAACTCGGACTCGGCCTTTTTGACTCTGGTTCGTGCCTGTCGAGCCTGCGTGGATTCAGTCCCTGTAGCCCGATCGTGGAATGAAGCGCTTCCCGAGTTCCAACAATTCCTTTTTTACTGCGAAGACACTGCCCATCCCACTTCGGCGAGTCAGTCCCTCCCCGTCGCCGGGTACAGTTCCGCCAGCCGTCCTATAAGACCGTTCACCAAGGCAGCCACCACCACGCCGGTTGTCTTTGGCGCCTCCAGAGGGCCGATCGCGAACACTCAATACGATACACATCGCACGGCATCGGTCTCTGTGGACCGCACAAAATCCACCTCCCCCACACCCCCGCTCTCGACACCCACCGATCACACATACACGGGCGCCGCATCTATTTTCTGCCCGCCCTTACTTTTGGTAATTGCCCCTTTTGTCCTATCTACGATATGATATTCTCATCCCCGGTGGCCCTCGCAACTGATTTCCCACTCCATCAATTGGAGTTGAACTGCCATCGCAACTAGCTCCCACTATTCAATGGCGTTTGATCTATATCATGTGGAAGCATCGGAGCCAGGGCGTCTACAGGATGTTTCCGACAGAGGTACAGCTCCAACGCTCTGGAATTATCGTATAATGACGGGAATACGGCCGATGCCTCATGCTAGCTCATCTAGCTGTCTGTTGACTATATAAATCAATTGAGAGGGGTCTTGGAAATCCTGGGTGGCAGTTCATAATAGTTCAATCTTGGACGCTTCACGCCACGCTTTCAATGTAAACCTTGGAACCACTAAAGCTGTACACCTACTCCCGCAAAGACCTGCCCTGCCTTACCTAATGTGGCGAGGGAGTGGCTTTTCCTAAACACTGCTGCCCGAGTGCCTGATTCTGAAGTTTGCTCTCATGGTGCCACCGATCTTTATTTTTAAGATCTACCGTTAGATGATGACAGAGCGAGCTACGAAAAAGAAGTGGAACTTGCTGGAGACAGTAGATACACGCTTTATATAAAAGTAACAATAGACAGGAGAGAGAAAGGATTTGTGTGTGTGTGTGTGTGTGTGTGAGCGAGAGAGAGAGAGAGAGAGAGAGAGAGAGAGAGAGAGAGAGAGCACAAGCCAGCGAGAGCTTGTTATTAGCCCTGCCAAACCAGATCACCTGGCACCCGGACCCCAACCTAGGTGGTATGGGAAATGTCCCAATTTAGGAGATCGAACCCTGTTCGTCTGGAAATCGGGCTTCATGGATCCCCCAGCCCGAGGCCATTTTGAGACTATTTTGAGTCCCCTGCGACGGCTCTGGCGACAGCGAGCGGGGTACCATGCTCAAGTTTGACTGAGGTGAAGGAGGCGGATAACAGTCGAAGTTCAAAAAGAGACAATGCACGATACCACCAGAAAGTACCGCCAGAAGCAGATGCATTGGCTTCCGAAGTTTCTATATCAAGATGTCAAAGGAAATAGGCACCCGTAATCCCACTCTTCGATCTAGGGTCCCGTCTACTTCGCTTTCCTTGGTGGCAATGGATGATAGAAGTTATGAGGGAAAGTGCGCCACGTACAAACCTCGGGCCTTTATACCTAGATCGGTGAGCCTTATGAAACCGCGCCATTCCAAAGAGCAGAAAACTTCGAGAAACGAGATCGAGCTTCAAAGATTACACCCGAAACGCCCATCATTATTCAGAGCACCAGAGAAACACGACAACGAGGTGGAGCCCGACTGTTGGCCGCTACTCAGCAAAGATGGAACCCCCAAATGCAAGGACGATACCTCGTATCACTGCCGTCGAGCATCATTGCGTATGCGTTATCGCCGAGCCAAAAACATCGTTTTCCAGCCATGGCAGCGCGTAGTAAGTTTGTCGAGTCTCATTCTACCCATTCCCATGCCCGGCAGTATCAAGAATAATGTGCTAGGATACGATCGCCTTGCCTCACCTACAGTATCCAGATACATCTCAGAACAGGACTTTTGGGCCCTGATGCAAAATTTCTTCGGGCTTGGGCCACATTCGGCCCTATGTGTGGAACAATCATTGGCGTTCAAAGACAAGATTCCATATATCAAATCATATCTCAGATCGAAACCAACCCCAGTCGATGCTAGGGATGGCGTGGATGATTATAGAGAAATGGTCAAGTTTTGCACGAGACTGACGGAGAGGATCTTTCAAAACGATAACAGCAAGACCGTTTTCCTGGGGGTTGATTCACAGGTCCGTTTGTTGGCCACTGAAGAGAACTGGGATATTTTCCGAGGGTTTGGAATAGTCCGCCAGTATTGCGACGAGGTGGGGCTGACACAGGTGGACTCCGACGAGTTCGAGCTTCCACAAGCGTGGCTTCGGGTAACTTGTGCTCTCTCCCGACAGCCAGGCCACTGATCTAACGACCACCAAGTCAAAACAGATATCTTCGCGGGAGAGCCGGAGTATGTTACAAGTCTGGGGGGGCTTTGCAGTCAGTCCTGTTGGCGGCAAGGCAGCCGGATCCGGGTCGAATCATGATGGGCGGACTTGGACGGATCTACCAAGCCCTTCTGACGGCCGATGAGACCAGCCGCAGACGCGAAAGACTATAATGTGCCAATTTGAAAAGACGCTGATCATCAATGGGCAATACGTAACGGATTCGGCTAACGCCTCTCACGATGTCTAGGGCCCCCAAAATAGATCCCGCTGCCATTCTGGGGCTTGTCGGGACAAGAAAGACAGCCCATGATTTCTCCCAGTGCGGGGTCTGGAGACCTCCTGGTTCTGTGTGAGTTTGGATGCGAAGACGGTGGACGTTGTCTCCTTTGGGATCTAGCAACTAACTTCACACTTAGGCTTGACCTCGGTCCCAATAAAGAGTGATGAAGCCGCTCTCCTGTGGATTGTGAAATCTATGAGATCGCTAGATACGAGCTTCCAATCATTTAACCTGTGTTGATATATTGTTTGTTTCATTCATTATTGTCTTGTCCCCACGCGGGATAGTCAAATCTGACATATCTTGTTTCGGACTCACCCGAGGTAGTATCTCATATTAAACCATGCCAGAATAGAAATAAAGAAAAGCAAAACTTACCAAAGTTTATTTTGCAACTCCACATACAGTAACAGCACATCTTCTACTGAGCAAACAAGGCGGATCCCCCTAGATCGCTCATATTAGATCAGGATGCTCTCAGCGGGGGACATGGTCTCAAGAGATCAGAAATGGCACTGACCCACCAATATACATTTTTGGACGCCATTCTTGGGATGTGAAGGTTGCATATGTTCTCGACTAGCCACGGAGGCTTTGAGCTTTGTTATTTTCCTAGTCCCACAAGGGCCCTGAAGTTGAAAGACAGTTCGGATATTCTAATCTCTCCACGCATCTCTTGCACACATCAAGACGGATGGCCACGCGTTCTGGGAATAATTTACCCGCTATTGTAGTCACCAGTCCCGACCCTGAGCGGTTTATCATTGAGATCATGTGCCCGAGGTGTGGACCTTGCACCGCATTCGCAGCTGAAGAAATTCAGTCTCCAACCCCTCTGGCTTGGTCGGACTGTAAGAGGAAACAAACGGCGGATCGTGCGCGGGCGAAGCCATGGCGCTCTCGCTTGCGTGGAGGGATGAAGTCTCTTGTTTCTGGTCGATTTGGTGGTATTTGATGAGCTTGAGGCAATCGCGCATTATCCTTTATCCCTGGTTTTGCTATATACTGAGCCATGTGTTTTGTAGCCTCGGTATTATTAGATAACGGATCATCTGATCCTTCTTGCTTGCTCGCTTGGGTCTTTCCTTTTGTTCTCTTCATTTCCACATACATATACTGAGGTTGCTTTCTCCCGACTTCTTTTTCCCTACTGCGCTTCCTGACTGTGTTTCCTATATCTACTTCTGTCAATCTCCCTGCAAGGTTTCTCAATGATGTGATACACCTTGTTGCTACCCGCCCGGTGTGTCAGAGACCGGGAGCTCAGGTATGACGGTAGCGTGCCAAGGTTGTTAACCACTGGGCCAATATATACATGACCCTACATCATTCATGGGTCCATGGATGTTCCGTCCCGAGCGCTGGATGGATGTCATTACTGGACCGTTCCAAGGTTCTATCCATCGATATAGCTAGCCACTACATGCCATACCAAAAAATGCAGGTTGATACCAGGTGAATGAGTAAACTGAGAAATTGCTAGCCTCCAAAGACGTATTATCAGGTGAGAGTCTTGGAATATGCCTCGACTCAATTAGATTGTTCCTCCTTCCAAGGTTGCTTTTAGGCTGGATGGATGGATCGGGATCGCTTATCTAGGATAGCCCTAGGGATAAATCTCTCCCTTTGTCTCTCGCTTCTTTCTTCCTTTCTTTCTTGTCTGTTCATTTTTCATCTGGGCATCTGAGTCTAGTGTTTCTTCTATGATCCAAGTTTTGTTATTCCAGTAGATCCGTTAAGAGCGTACCCAAGACTAGCCGTGCAGTGGATTATCTCTCCCGGGAAGAGAATGTGACCGTGCTTGCTTTTAGAAGATCAGAAGCGTACAGAAGTTATGAGCATAACTCGGGACTAACTTTCCTCTTTTAATGATACAAACAGTGAGGGGAACTTGAATCTACTTGTTGCTCTGTTTGACCTCTTTCTGCTTTGCTCTCTGCCCTTTCAAGGTCTCTAGACTTCGTACATAAAGGAACCAACCTCCCTGACCTTCTTCGACCACAGCCTCTTGTCCACTCGTACTCCCATGACCATTTCAAGTCTGCAAGTTGCTCTATGAACGATATCTCAAACGGAAGGACTATTGGTAGAAATGCAGGGTTGAAAATGAGTTGACAAAGGGGGCCCAGGCCAGGTAAAACGGGTTCGGTGCACACGTCACTGCATCCGCCTTAGTACCAACCGAAGCACCGCAAATATGAGTATACGATATACAGGATTGTCAAAAGAGACGAGGAGAGGAAGAAGAAAGGAAGAGAGACTATCTATCCATCTGCACTACCTATACCTACGGGGGGTCTCGCAAACAAGAGAAATACCGCCCACGCTGATTGGAGGCGGAGGCACCCGGATAAGAATACGAATCCAACGAGTGTTTTCTCCGCTGGAGAGAGAAATTATATTGCGTACCGAGTCGAGAGTATCACAGCCGCACAGCCGTAAAGAGATGCTTCGGCGAAACGTTTCGGGAGGGCGTTGCGTGGCCAGAGTTTGTGGAAACCCGGTAATATCAAGCTCTATCCAGTCCATGAAGTAAAGATCCACTTCCGCCTTGAGATATGGGAGGATTGCATCGATATCGGTAGTAGGGTTCAAGATATCTGGACCCCACCATGGCTTCAATGGACCATACGTTTCGGAGACTACCAGAAGGAAGTGCTTACGCGGGTGAGCAAAAGGACATGACCCAGAGAAGATTGGTTACATACGCCAGGAACGGGCTGCAGGGCTCTCCGACTGCTCTGAACACACTCAGGACCATCAGACCCTACCTCTCCCGTAGAAGAGCTACCGCTGAATTGCACTCGGACAAATCTCGTTTCACCCGACTCTTCTTTGACTTGAGGCCGTACGGTGGGGGTGGGCGGTGATGGATGGCTCGCTGGTGGCTGGCAGGAGATGAAGCCTCTCCGACTTGCCTCCAAAGACTCGTGGGGTCGGCGATTCTGGCCTGGAGGCTGGTTGGTATATGGAAACTTCGACACCGTGTTGGGTTGAATTAATGTCGAGCATTGCGTAGACATATTTGGATACATCTCGAAGCAACTTGCAGTCACCAAAGAAAGAGGTGAGGATATGCCCTCTGTTTATATTGTCGAATTAGCTGTGCTGACTAAGCCTCCGATGATCGAGATGTTTGGGTGATTATTCCAATACTTCACATACGAGGACACGGAATACTTCCTAGGGCTGGATTATCCCTGCACTGATATGACAGCAGGAGATGAATCAACTTTGGAAGTCTGCCAGGCTGCCCTACTAATCCACTATGTGGATGGATGTATTCACTGAAATGGAGTTTTATGAGAGGGGGCAGATACCAAGATGTCTATGGTAAATGATCTAGCTATTTTCCCATACTGACACTTACTGAAATGTTAACAGTTCATCTATATTATAATTGCGTGATCGTTGCTGTTTTACTGTCGATACGGACCATTCACGAGTTAGGCTTATAGGAATCTGGGGCAGGGGCCGCCAACTCCGTTCCCAAATTCCACATAACGCATACAGTAATCACAAGGAGCTGAAGTTCTAGTTGACTTGAGTATTCCCATCGTGAAAAACACCGTTGTTGTTGTGTACCAGCTTGGAATCCGAGCAGCAGCGTTGGTAGCATTCGGCTCGATATTGACTTCGGTTGCGGGATCTAAACCTAAGCAGATGAATATACCCCCATGATTTCTTGGTGGTCGGGTAGCCAGGTGGTCACACACCCTGCGTGCCCAGGTGGACAGGGCAGACTAGGTAGATTGATTCCTTATTTGTCTCTTCCTCTCTCTTCCTTTCCCCTCTGTACGTTTTAGATCAATCAGAATCGATCCACTGTTTTGCGATTCGCCTCATCGTAGACCGCTTCTGCTATCAAGATTTCCTCTTCAAATTCTTCAGTCTGTGATATTTTTCGCTACCGGTCGTTGATTTATTCTCCAACATACAATTCGGTGATATGGAGAATTCACAATCAATGATGTAGTAGTTATTCATGTATCGATGGAGGACACGTGGGCTACTCAGGTTATATTTTTAAACATGATCAATTCCTAGGCAGTGATCAAATGGCGGATCTAGCGTGAGCTGATAGCTACACCCACTCGTTGGATAATCAGCACTCCTAGGTAGACGAATGGCTCCTATCTCGCCAAAAGGAAATGATCGTATCTATGACAAAATTTTGATCCTCATCTGACAAGGCCATGTGAATTGGTAAGAGGAGGATTTGTGACACTGCAAGGGAGGTCACGCTGTCTTCACCCGAGAACCGACCATACTTACGTCCAAACGGGGACAAATGGAACGGCATAAATTGCGGATGGCCCTGGATATTCGCCCCACTCAGGTGGCGAAGCAGCGAAGAACGCTGAGACACATCGCATACCTGAATCCAGAAGATGTTCGCGTTGTGGGTTGTGTTGTTTGGGATCAGAGGAAGATTGATATATCCTTTTTCGGATAACGAAGTAAGAGCAGTATAGTATCGTTGCCAAAGCAACAGTCTTCGTTCATTTATTCGGTCCACGGCTTCAATTTGACCAAAAAGGAAAGCTGCTTGAACCTCTGAAAGTGTTGCGTTCAAGCCCAATCCCAACCACTCGTAGCGCTCGACTTCCCCGCGAAGAAAGCGCCCCCGGTTCGTCCCATGCTCGTACAGAATTTCAGCATGCTCTATAAGACTCGGATCATTTACAAGCAGAGCTCCACCCTGCCCGCCTGCCGTGAGATTCTTCTTTTCCTGGAAGCTTATGCAACCCAAATGGCCGATAGTGCCTAGCATGCGTTTGTTGAAGGTCGAACAGCAAGCCATTGTAGCATCTTCACAAACAATCAAGTTACGCTCCTTAGCCGTTTGCATGATAATATCCATGTCACAAGCAACTCCGCCATAATGCACTGGAACAATTGCCCGTGTCTTTGATGTGATAGCGGCTTCGATAAGACTTGCGTTGATGTTCATTGTGGCATAATCCAAATCCACAAAGACGGGGATGGCACCCCGAAGAACGAAAGAGTTCACAGTGGTGACATAGGTATAGCTCGGTACAACTATCTCGTCACCGAGCTGTATATTTGCAACAATAGCTGCCATCTCCAAAGCTGATGTCCCAGATGACACCAACAGGGCCCGTCCACTGTACATAAAGCTCTCCAGCCATTTCTTACAAAGCTTAGTGTAAATCCCCTTGCCATTCAAGCTCCCTGAAAGAATGCAGCGTTTAACATGGGTAAGTTCTGACCCCATCACAGTCGCATTGGTGTTTTTAATCATTCGAGGATATGTATGAGGCGTCATGATCGGACGCCTATAGCGCTTGCGATGCAGACATGGAACATGCGAATTTCAGGATCTTCATCATAGGACACCGGGATTTTATGGCTCAAATCGACAGATTCCTGCAATGTACACTTTCCAGGCTATTGCTGCAGATGTATATCCAATTATCTCAGGTTGGCCATTCACGGATGTGAGGATTGAACTGCCTGAGCCATTCGTGCTATAACACCACCAACAAATGGCAATCGATCCTGGAGTCCGAAAAAATAAACACACATATCAATATCACATGGTACAACTGATGTTGTACAACCGGCTCAATGTAATTGCATGTGAGTGTCAACATTATTTCATAACGTGATCTGTGTTCCCAACCTGTGCCAGTTCGTGTCAAGCTTCAGATAATCCCCAACAATCACAGACGGATCCGCATTGACAAATAAACTTAATATGAAGACCAAGTCAACCAAAACTGATATGTCTGAATGCCGAAATGGGAAGGGTACTTCTAGATTCCCACTACGCTGGGGAATACTAGGTGAGCCTGCAAGCGCTCCTTGACGTGGCTGCTGATCAACATTTGACACGGAACAGGGACTGGAAGAATAGCTGAGAGTAGGAACCACAGAATACTAAGGCTCTTAGAGTCAGTGCAGCAGATTAACGTACACAGAATTCGCTATTGATCTTATCGCCGACCCTCTGGACAGAGAAAAGAGTGAACTTGTCCGTCCACATTCTGTCAGGGATTGCTTGTTCCAGCTCAGAAAAAGCTGCGAGCTCGTTGGTCGTATCAATGCCCCAGCTATATGTCGTGTGTTCCCCAATTACAAGAGTCTAGTATCTGATCCGGAAATTGATATCATTTATGTCGCCACACCGCATTCCCATCACTTTCAAAACACCATGCTTGCCCTTGCAGCCGGAAAGCACGTCGTCTGCGAGAAGGCTTTTGCTATCAATGCATTTCAAGCAAGGTTGATGATTGCTGCTGCGGCGAAGCAAAGTGTTTTCTTGATGGAGGGCCTTTGGACCCGATTCCAACCTGCTAGCATGGAGGCACGGCGACTGATACAAAATGATACAGTTGGCAGAATACTTCGAATCGCGGCCGACAACAGTTTGGAAATGAACCCAAACTTGAATCCGCGTTGGACGACCGTATGGTTCGGCCAGAGCTAGGAGGCGGTGCTCGCTTGGACTGTCTGTAACCATAATTTACAGTACGTCCCGAAACTGGTGCAACCACCGACACTTTTCGAGCGATTCTCTAGCCCCCCTCCCGCCAAGAGACACTAGACCATATTAAGAATAATCTAGGAATATCAATGTTTCTGGATCAATCTCGATACCGTAGTTTACGTATATTAAAACACGGTGCCTTGTCTCGTAAATATACTGGCGATCCAAAGGAACTAGAATTTTCTATGGAGATGCAAACAAGGCAAACGATGTAGTTGGAAGTGCCTTGAGAATCTGGTGACCTGTCACTTCCCTCCCACTCCTGTCTAAGTGACGGTCTCGGGGGCTTATACGGCACCAGACCTTGCAAATAGTGACTTGCATTACTTGCTTACTATACTTATAGACTAACTTACCATTTACTGATGAACCTGCTTATCCAATCACTCAGCCTATTAGCTAGTTATAGTCCTCTCTTCTTGACGCCCTGTAACACGCTTAGTGGAAACTAACGCTCAACCATATCAATAGACTTTTCTGCCTCGGGGGGATGACTTACACTCCTCTTAACGATAAGAATGATGCTTACCGATCTGAACTGCCCGATCTATGTGAACGAACTCCTTCGTATCATCGTATGCCCCCACCCCCCTAGTTATCTAGACCGCGAATGGACGCCATCAGTAATCTGTCCTTCACCCGATCCCGAGGACATAGTTGGTGAATGTTCGACTTCCTTGTACATATCAATACCCGTCCGAACATCAGAGTTTTGATCCTATGGTTGTCCGTGCAGATGGAAATGCATGGGATGAACAATCTCCGGACTATATCCACTACCAGATCGAGTGGGTGCCCAAAGTAGCGCCCCATCATCTCTACAAGCATCCAATCACATCCTCATTTCAAGTTGCGGGCGTTAAATCATTGCATGCCATGACTCGCATTCCACGAAACGGCTTCAAGCTCCAGTCTAAGGCGCATTCGCCTGAATTCTAATGACCATAATACTACTAAAACCTTGCATCAATTGGGCACCAACGTCGAATAGAAGCACGCATGAGTCATTTTAATCAACATGTGAAATAGCGCTGCGTATAATGAACTATTGCACCGAGGGAAAGTATGAATTTCTATAGGTCAATAATCAAATCTAATATCACGAGGTAGGCTTATTAATATGCAATTGCTGTGTGCTCCAGAAATATAAAATGTATGGCTGCCTCCTTAGGATGCTTGGATAAAATGAGATACGATCCATCAGACTTCATTCGGCTATGGAAAAGTACGAGGAGATATGGGAAAAATTTCCACGGTTTCTGGACAACAACAGTATCACACATTTAGCAAGGACTTGTCGAATGCTATGCTTGATTGCAAGAGACGAGTTAAGGCAGAGGGCAAGACATTATTTGAGGAGTGCTAATAATTGGGAGCATGGGTTCTATCCAGTGCAGGGGTATTATGGGAGACGTTTTAATGACGAGGGTGAGGAAATGGACGCAGGGGAAGGGCTTTGGTGGTTAAGATGTATCTGTGAACATCACAAAAGGCTCTTTACTGGACAGAACTGTTCATGTGAGTTTGTTCGCACGCGCTGAGGGCTTGGGAAAGTACTAAACTGGTTATAGGTGGAGTGTGTATGCTGAAAATTTTCAGGCCTAATTGGGTTGGGGAAGCCTTTGTTCAGGGTGTGCGATACCGACGTCATCAGAGAAATTCGCATGTAGAATGCAGCGAAAACCCTATGGACGGAGATGGAAATTCCAAGGTGCATTGGGAATTGAAAACCAATGGTCCGTAATCACGAGAAGGTGTATCGCCGAAAGTAGTATGTATTGATAACCCTGGTCCTTAATAACTTGGTGGTGGAGCACTTATCATGTAGCTCTTTCATAGCTTTCGCCTCGACTTTGTTAGAGTGGAAATACATTCCTCGTCCCTCCGCGCACAAAGGCTAAAGATTTCGGGCTGGTCTCACTTTCACGCAAAATACGGCGTACTCTTCGAAACAAATTGTAAGGAAATCAGAGAATGATAGGCGAAATTTAAATCGGAAAAAATTTAACGTATAAATTGTGCCAGCATAATCAATGTAGCATTCTGTGACGTTAAAAGACCGAGAGCGTAGTAAGCCACTAGCCACGTCCTAAGCCTGCAAGATATCCTAAATCTGTCCATCTATCTTCTCTGACTTCCAGCTCCTCCATACCACGAAGGTCCTTCTCAATATATTCGCCAGTACTGCTAACTTTCAGAATAAGCGCAATGGCGCGTTGGATATCGAGAAGCCGCGGGGAGCGGGGGATTTACCGTGCGATGAGCAGATTCTAAAGGCACTCCCCAGCTTTGGTGTTTGAATTGCTTGCGTTGCCGTGGAAAAATAGTTCCCTTGGGTCGCCAATACAGTTAGGAGACAAGGTATTGTATTTCTTGCCAGTCTCTGGCCAAGAATTCCCTTCTAGGGTAGGCGGTGATCTCTACACCGCCCGCTTACGCGTACTGTATCGTCTCGTTCTCCGAGACTAGCCCCTTCCGGGAGGCTTTCGCCTGTTCCGGCCTATCGCCGGCGGTTCCCTCCCACCCTCTGTGGGCCCCTCTCCTGTGTCCAAAATTCACTCAAAGGGGGAATTACGTTGAGTCTCAAGTCTCAACTTTTTGGAGCAATGTTACACAAGGGTGGGGCACCACCCTCCCAAAAAGTTGTCCAATTAAAAACTATGGAGGTATAGATGATTTCATTTCTAGCTCAATGTAGATACAACCTAGTCGGCTTTGGAACCAATTGAGCGTCAACATAAGGATGAATTGAGGAAATAGAGTAGGCTTCGCAAGGCAACCAACTAATTGATGGGTGGTGAGGAAAAATGCTACGGGCAATCACAAACTGCGGCCGAGCTACATGTTAGTCGATTTTCTAATTGGGATCATTTTACGGTGTGGTTGGTTCCACTCTGTAACAGCCCCACGATTAAGATGAACCACCCCCGCTCTGCAATTTAATCTGCGATAGACAGTCGCCATTTCTTTTCTGAGGCCAGTGCTTTCCCTCTCCATAATCTGCTGCTGCTTTGGTCCTACTCCCGGCATACAACTCATGAAGTAGCCACAAAGGGCTGTTAGCATCAGCGGTGTTACTGTTCGATTTCGGCCGATTTGTGCATGTGGGACATTGATAGTTCTAAACTGGCATAAGTTTCTGCGAATATTGATAGTCGTAAGCTTGTTATATTCAGCTTCATCGGCCATATGAGAAGTGGTAAAGCATCGGCTATCTACCATGCCATAGATCAGATGAAGCTTCGAAGTAGGGAGCCTAGGAGTCATGTTCGTTGAAATTATATTGAGTGCTTTTACTCAAATACAGACAGGCGGTACGTGAGTGGGAGAGGAAACCTAGTTCTTGCCATGATCGAGGTGCGCACCAGGCGGCATGCGCATGTATACATAGCACTTTCGCGTAAAATGTATCTTCTGGTGTCTTGCTATCGTATTGTTAGATATGCCTACTATCTCGGAAAGCGGTCTGGACGGCGGGTGGTCAATCATCTATCTAATCAGAATTCACAACTGCTGGCTGTATTTTCCGGGAATCACATTGCAAGAATGCGGAGGTATAACTGTTTTCGAATTCTACTGTACCATTATACAAGGCTCGCCTACACTTTCTGCTAGGAAAGCCAAGTTCCTGTATGCTACAGTGGGAAGCGGAGGCGCTGAATGACCACGCTTTAATAAGCCCTAAGATATAACAGATTGATCTTGCATTTCCGGCTTTATTTCCCAAATGATAGACTTGATTCACCAATATTATCCTGTAGACCGCGGTGAAGGGCTTCCTTCACTCGTCACTGCCAAGGGAGTAGGTAATTCCATGAGCGAGCTCAGGAACGACGTCATGTTGTATTAATATTTATCAGATCCAGTCTTCTATAACACTGTCTTTCCATACAATATAGCCCCTTGAAACTGAGATCAGCTACACATAGTGTGATGGGGAAACCGCACCACATCTCACGTGCCCCACAGCACTCCAGGGGGTATCTCTAGCTGCAGCTTCATAGTCTGAGAATCAAGCGTTCTACACATCTCCAAGAACACAGCATCTACTCCCTAATCCGGCCGTATTGGCGTCCTGCTTTGCTCCCTATGACCCCCGTCGAGCACTGAGCACCCCCGTCGTCTTGTCTGCGATGTCAGACCGCCAGCGCGCTCTTTCCACTTCAATAGTTAGCGTGTAGCAAAGTGGGGCCTCGAGAAAAAATCTCTGCGTTCAAGTGGTGAAACTGATTTCGATCCTCCCCGTATCTTCCACGCAGACTTCGTTTCGAGTATCAAAATCCTTGGCAGTTGCAAGCCCATCTGTGAGTAGTATGAGCTTTATGTCCTCTGTCATCCGACAAATTGCTTCATTCGTGTAATAGCCCACGCATTGAACTAGCCCTTGTACATCGCCGGTGAATGTAGACACGAGCTGTTCGCGGTCCATGCTGCGGCTCCATATACGAGGAGAAAACGTTGCATTCTCTAAGCTTGTCATACCCGCACTATCGTGGACATGGTCGGCCAATGTGAGGAGCAGACCAAGGTCGTTTGCTGCCACGTACAGCTTATCCAGATGGCTGGTATCACATGTCGGGCCATTTTGTCTCCTATTGGCTCGACTGCGTTGCCTACCTCTGGTGATTTGTGATCGCTCTTGCATCGAGGCTAGGACTGTGCGCTTGAGGCGGGTAAGAATCTTGAGATGGACGGTAGTGATGAAGACAATCAACTTACACATTGAGTGCTGTCACTGTACGGCCGAGACTGCCCCCTGGACAGCCGCCGAAGGAGCAATTTCAGTTGCCAAAGCGATACATCAGGGCGGATTGTGTTTAAAGCTTTCATGGAGGGCTAAAACTACGATACCCACTGGTAACGACCACGGGGAAATCAGTACAAACATCTTGTGCGGAGTGAGCGACATGTACATATATACCTATATAATGGTCTCTCCTCTGTGGTGCGATGTGGACGGAGGGCCATTTGACCGCTAGAAGAAAGCCGCATCTTATAATTAGACTCTGAGGGAAAACCCTTGAAAATGTCGTCACCTGTCTGACATCTGTGAATGATCATGTCTATTCTGGGCTTGCGGAGTCTGTCTCAATTTGGCGTGCAGAAGGGCCGTGTGACGGTGGAAGTCCCCAGGTGCCGTATTTTGCATGTGACGTGGATCTACTGACTAGAAAGAGAGAGATTGCGAGAGAGCTAGCCCGGGTAGACACCTGATCTATTGCGGTTAGCAGACGCTACAAACAGCATTCATATACCATGGTCTCTGATGTTTGCGAATCATTGTAGATACCATCAAGACCTCGGGAGTATCAAACGCAGACGCATTTTTATCGTTGGTCTTCGATAACTCAGCTGGCACCTGGTGCTGTATCATATTCACTGCTCGTTCAGTTCCAGTTCACACTAGTGCATTGTCACGAGAATCCCTCGCCGACCATCATACAAAGTTATATGCACATCGTAAGCCCTGTTGACATCATTTGGCAATGGGTCATTGAAATTATCTCATCTTCTCACATGCAAGGATACCGGCAGTCCTAATTTGGATATAAAGTTAGGAAGCCCCCCAGAATGGAGCAGGTTGTGAGATCATTTTACGCTACCCGGCTCCTGGAAAGATCAACCGCCATGAGTGTGAATCTCAGCCTTTTTGTCGACAGGGGGCAAATCGGGAATCCGCCATGTCGCGAGTTGCCTTCATGGACAGAGACCCCATCCAATTCGTCACCATCCACTCCTTTGACCCAATCTCCGGGAAAAAAATCATTTGGAGATTTCCTTCGACAATTCTACGTCACGCGTGAGGTGTCATCGTCACTCTCTACCAGCCACCTGAAGGGCTCACCTGATCCAAAAGTTACAGCTGGGCATGCAAGGGATATCTGAAACAAAAGCTCATTCCGAGTCGAAGTGTGTCTCATCCAGGGAAATCTACGCTCTGTGTGTTCAAATCAAGCTGGGTCCGAGACCTGATAATGGCCTATAATTTCAATCTGTCGGAATGAGTTGTAGAGTCCGGAAGATTTGTCGTGTCCGGTAATATGCCGTGATGCTTATGCATATGGACACGGGATATATAGCGTGAGCCTGCAGGCATTCCAAGGTTGGCATTCAAAAAGGACGCCGAGGATTATTATATCTATTACCTCCATATTTTAGTGAGAAAAGGCATCTTGAAACAAGAAGTGCAGGTTTTGTGTCACGCGACCACTGTCCTACAACCCAAGTATCTGCTTTGCTTTGGTTGTAGGGGACCAATACAACTATGGATACAGAGCATGGCTTACAAAGCCCGCTGAGCATGCAACCCGTAGTAGCGTGAGAATATCACCATACGCTCTTTATTAACACATCCTCAATTAGCTCTTCGTGGTACCATTAATGGAATCCGTATGGTTTTGGATGGCTCTAGGAGGTGGGCTTCTTTTGCGAAAAGGAGGTTTATACTTGCGATGATATTGGCTTCTTCCCTATGAGTTTAATACAGAAGCAGCAGACGGAGATGCCATTTCCCCAAGGTGCTCGCATGCTTCGTTGTTTTACTGCTGATCAACCTATGTGGGGCGAGAATCTAGATCCGTTCATTGCAGGGCCCTTGACTGGCGACTCGAGGTAGGTTACATATTTCAACAGCGTGTAAAATAGAGGGGCCTGTCGCAAGACTCTATCAGTGCGGCTCTTCGTTCATTGAGTTGGACTAAGCCATTATATAGGAGTCGCAAACAAGTCCGAGTCAGGCAATCGAGCAACTGGATGCGAGGGGACAATCCGTCCGATATATGGTCACCCACTGACGCGAGGTCTGAAGATGGAGTTGTTGCGACCTCTCGGGCCATTGGATCAATTCCCGCCAGGCGAAACACAACCATTGCGCACTTGCCGGTGGAATTAGTCCTTTGCATCATCGAACAGATGGATCATCACTCCCTGCAGAACGTGTCTTTACTAAACAAAAGCTTCAGGCAGATTGCCAATCCCCTTCTTTTTCACACCGTTCAGTTCAATAGAGGTTTCGGCCATGCCTGTAGAGAATCTCCCACGGCCATGTTTCTTTACACTCAATCAATTTGCTATGTCGCACCCTGGTGCACCAAATCAGGTACGTTCCATCTCAGGTAAACAGCTCGCATCAGCCCCGGCTAAGGACCAAGAATAGATATTGAGAATCCATGGAGTGATGCCAGCTCCAAAGGTATATGCTCCCATGCCATGCGCCTTCCATCATTTGAGCGTGAGCTGGAGCATCTCGCCACGGTTTTACACCGCTGTCGTAAACTCCGATCTCTCAAAATGCGCTGGGAGCCCTGCCGACAAAGACGCTCGTGCACCCAAGCACCCCCGTCACGACAATCACTCGAATGGCCTCTGCGGGTCCTTGTTGCCGCCATGAACCGTGGACCTTGCAAGGCGGAATCGTTGGAGAGCCTGAGCGTGGATGTCTTCCAGTCGCAACACACCATCCACGAGCTTGACATGGCAGCGGAGTTTTGGACGGCAGCATCGGAAGTGAAGGATCTCACACTGAGGGGACAATTTGGATTTTGGGAACCCGTTCTTGCCTTCAGCCCCGGGCGCGGCTTGCGGTCAATCAGGTTAAGCGATTGTGCAGTCTGGCACCACAACCTGAAGTCTTTCGCCAAGCGTGCCATCGACGGGGTGATTTCTATTCGGCTCGAGAAAGTTTTCATTCGTCCATACAGGGAACTCGGGTACGTGACGCACATGGGATCACCGATTGAGATGGTAAACTGGCTGGATCACGTCGTATCATCGAGAACTAATCAGGCAAATATTGACCATCCGGTTTGGTGGCCACCGGGCACCCAGATAAATATGGGTCAGGTAAACATAGAAACATGAGTGGTATATAATCAGGAGCGTATGCGAGAAGAACCTTTACGGCAGATGCAGCGTTGGGCTTCAACTTCACCTCTTTCACGAAACATGTCACAGAATCGTAGAATCAAACTCCGTTTTTGTTGTTCGTGACGATATCATCTCGATCGATGGATCAGCTCTAGTTGCTCTAGTCAGCAATAAAGCCAGTCTTGTCACAGTTGGTGATCCTACTCCAAGGTTTATACAGGACTTAGGTTTTGTTATATAATATTGTGATTTACGATGCATATTATAAAGTCGGATAGAGAGGGAGCTCTAGGTCTATCTATCTGCGCGGAGTCTGACCAATAAGGCAGCCACCAACCTTGGAAGGCTCCGACATATAACATCAAGAAAATGTACAGTGCTGACCGCTATCGCCTTCCATGTCGAGCAGCACAAAGAAGCTCTTTCAAACCCTAATCACATATCACGCTAGTTAGTTCATATATCGTTAGCCTTCAATTTCAGGTTCTGTTCCAAGGTAGAATTGTATCACTCGGGACAAGCGAAATACCAACCATGGTATCTATGTATGTCATTTTACGGATTGAGACATACAATATATACCGCACAATATCGCCGTCAGCATGTAGGCCCAGCGCTAGTTGCTTCTATAAACTTAGTCGTATGAATTTATGATGGGTTCTTAAAGAGGTAAAGGTGACCTGGTCCAGAGGGCGTTTGAAGATAATATAGCTGACTCGGGAATTTGAATATCTTTGGCGTATTTGTCGTACGTTCTCTTCAAGAAACTATTGTACATTTATTCAGCTTGGAGTGTGTGAATCATTCCGCCACGGCCTACTATAGGGTGATGCTGTCTCATTATGGTTTCTGTGGTAAACTCATACAGAGGATATACGATGGTGACATGGCCATTCATTTCAGAGGTATTGTGGGTATGGAGTTGTCTTCTTTTAATCATTTGAGCCATCTTTTCATTTTCTACATAGCGCAGCGTCCCCGGTGATGATTGAGATTTGCGACCTCCCAAATTTCAGGCGATTCTGGCTGGTACATCTCTTCTGCCTCGTGCAGTTTCCCTTGAGCTTTATAGAGAATGCCAAGGTTATTGACTGTATCCAGAGTGGACGTATGATCCGGACCGAGGGCCTTCTCTTTGCCAGCTAATGCTCGCTGGTACATCTCTTCTGCCTCGTTCAGCTTCCCTTGATCGGAGTAGAGAGTACCAAAGTTGTCAACTGTATTCAAAGTTGACGTACGATCTGAACCGAGGGCCTTCTCTTTACCAGCCAATACTCGCTGGTACAGCTCTTCTGCCTCGTTCAGCTTCCCTTGATCGGAGTAGAGAAGACCAAAGTTGTTGACTGTATTCAGAGTCGACGTATGATCTAGACCGAGTGTCTTCTCATAGCCGACCAATGCTCGCTGGTACATCTCTTCTGCCTCTTTTAGCTTCCCTTGAACGAAGTAGAGATTTCCAAGGTTGTTGACTGTATTCAGAGTTGACGTATGATCTAGACTAAGTGTCTTCTCATAGCCGACCAATGCTCGCTGGTATGTCTCTTCTGCCTCTTTCAGTTTGCTCTGGTTGAAATAAAGGGCCCCTAAGCAATGAAATGCTCCCCATAACTCAATACTGTCATCTAAACAATCTAAATGACGTACATAATTAGCGTGCGGAAGAAGCCGTTGCTGAGGCTTTGAATAGTCCCTGGTATCTGCACTAGGCACAGAGTATCCAACAGATATCACTGCAAGTTCATTAAGCTGTATCTGATCCACATCTTTGCTCTCGTTGGCAATATAATGGCACCAATCCTGTACCACTGGATGCATCGTATAGCTTCCTTCTTGCTGCCTACTGTCCAGAAGCGAGAATCCGATGAGAGACTTCACGCCGGCTTTGAACGCGAGTCCGCTTGATGTCGCCTTGTTGAGCCAGTCCGGGATGTTTGAGCTGTGACGGGCACACTTCACCAACTCGTACCAGATATCACGATTATCAAAACGAGCAAGTAGCAAAAGAAGGTCTGCTGCGCTTGGGTCTCGTTTCTGGATCGCAAGATATGAGATCATCCATGTTTGCAGAATGTTACCTTGATGGTACTGACGTCCAGGGTTTGATTGTAGCTGTAGCTCAGACCAAGACTTTTGGTAGTACTGCAGGTACTCAGTGATGCTGGTTCCAGTTTCACGCATAAACGCCCCGGCGATCACAATGGCCAAAGGCAGACCATCCAGACGATTGGCAAGACTAAGGGTATCTACATATGTCAGCATGATCTGTAAGATAATTTCATCAGCTGCGATCCTACCTGGATTCCTGTCAAAGTTTCTAGTGGTGTTCCTTGTTAATAAACCACTGCTTTGTAGGAGTAGCTCAATCGAGCTTTCGGAGTCAAGCCTTTGAACTGAGAAAGGCTCCCCTAAATCACTTAGCCTCTGAAGTCGAGAAGTAATCAGGATAGACCCATGGTCTGCGTTTGGGAAAAATTTCTCAATGTTATAATCATCAGAGTCTGCACCGTGGAAGGAGGTATCATGATCAACGTTGTCAAAAATAATTAGCCAGCGAGAGTTGCCATCCAATGCTAGCCATCGTAACATATGCCTGGCTTGTTGCTCCACATCTGTATCAATACTCGCTTCGTTACTCGAGGACTGTCCTGGTAATCGGCTCAAGGCAACACTCAAAGATTGCACGAGCGACTCGCGGTCCTTGCCACTCAACCAGAAAATCGCCGTAAAATCATTTTAATGATCTCGTGCGAAGCGAACCGCTAGCTGCGTCTTTCCCATTCCGCCAAGGCCGTAAAGAACTGCAACTTTCCGTGACGGCGAGACTTCTGGTTGCAAACACTGCCACAGATTGTCTAGCTCGCCTTGCCGTCCCACGAAGTTTGAAATCAAGGGAACTGCGTTGAGGTCTAGAGGGATATTGAAGCGGCGAACTACACATGAAGAACCTCATTTAGTCATGGTTCCAAACTAGGCAAGCAGTGACACAAATTGAAATTTGAATTCTCTCACCAGAATCCACGAGAGCATCTCGTGCTGTTAGAGTGCTTTGAATCTGATCAATCGGAACCACCAAGACAAGTTCTTTAGCATAGGCTGCTGCCACCATCGCCGCATATCCTTGCCATTCTTTGTTCTTGTGTGAGTCGGCATAGTCGCAGATACCTCGAACAACCAGACAAGGAAAGTCATTCATGAGCCCCGCAGCTTCCATTTCCACACAGAGAACCCCTAGGTCCCGGCCGAGCTGGTCTCGCCGCCTGCCGTCTTTCACAACCTGATTTGCAGATGCGATCAGTCCATAGTGTATCACTGGCTCTCCATATTCGCGTGAAGGTCGTGAAGTCAGCTTAGACCGATCACAATCGACACATGTATCAGATACTCCATGTTCATATTCCGTTTGGTATAAGAGGTCCTCTTTGGTTGGTCGGGCAAAGTGTGCAGCTATCCGCGGCGTCATTTTGGCTCGGGCCTCTGAGATGAATTTAAGAACTAGACTATCTTCTGTGAGGTGGTGGGCTTGGAGTGTAGCGAGGGTAGCCAACAGGACCTTAGGTGGCCGGTTCAGCATCCCTGTTCGCTGGAATTGCCCGCCGCTCAACGCTTTCCCCAGATCGTATTGGATCACGCCTCCGGACGTGTCTGCTGGCTGGATCACCACAATATCGCCTAGTCGAATGTCCGCCTTGCTGCTTGGTACACCTCCACCGATTCCGACCATCAGACCGAACCGGATGGAGTGGAAGCTCGAGAGCAACTGCATTGCCACTGTGGCCGCTGATACATTTCCATATGCACCGCTTGGTAAGCTGGCAATGACGATGTTGTGATCCCCGATATTTCTCAGGATATAGTTGTTTTGGTCTGTCGGCGGGCGGGGTAAACTCGGGTGTATTGCGTCCAACATTAATTTTGCGGCTGCCATCTCCACGGGTAAAGCGCATATCCATCCGACCGTGTAATCGTCATGACATAAAGAGGAACTGGCTGCCATGATGTAATATAGGACCGTTGGCTTTCAAATCTGAATAGCTTCATATGAGTTCATGGGAGTTATAAGGCAAAAAAGATGTCGTGGGGCCCAAATCTTGGGAATGAATGTCAGTCTTGACAGGAGGGGCGGGGTTAATTGGTGAGGCTGATGCTGAGGCGAGGCACCCTGCGCTCACAACCAATCAATTTTTGTAGTGGAGAAGGAAACGGTTGACAAATTGCCTGCTCCAGGATCGCTATGTTTGCTTGGTTTTAGTTCGAATCTTCCAGCAAGCGTGTCTAGTTCTGAACCCTTGTATCTTCCATACTGTATCTTTAGTTTCTGTTTTTGATTACCGGGTTCGCTACAAAACCAATTATTTACGCACTATTCATATCATATCTGTGTTAGCGTATCATTTGATTAGGGTTTGAAAGAGAATCTCTCTGTTCCTGACATGGAAGGCGAATGCGGTCGCCACCATACATGTTTGCGCTCAAAGGCAGAAGTAACAGTGGCCACACCAAAGAGCGAATGGTTTGGATTCCTGTCGCCCTTTCTAGGTGCAGATAAGGTCTCCGCGCCAGCATATGCCTCGACTTAATAGGAAGCGTTCGCACACATCACCGTAGATGTGATTTCTACCCGGGAGAGTGCCTGCCACACGACTTCACATAAAAATGCTGACATACCCGTCATGCAGTACCCACCACCGACGACTGTCCTGCCGCACTATCGGCGGAAAGATCAAATCCTTCCCACTTCGGTGATGTACTGCCGACCAGAGGAAACCAAGGTCGTGAGATCTAGACACCTCTTCTAAAGGTTACCGCCAATGGTACCAAGTAGCCTTCAATACCATCAGACTGCATTATGCAGTCTGTCAGCTAGAACAGGATACCATCCGAGAACCTTCCAGAGACTTTGATTGACCGATTAGTTAGAGAAATTCTTTCACGCACGCTGGGAGAGGGGTAATGCGAACCATGCGTTTCGCGTCATAACTTTCGGACAAGCTTTGTACTCGAGTAGCAGCTGCACCATTTCCCTGTCATTGTTCAACAGGGCCCACGCCAGGGCTGTCTCGCCGCTCGTACCCCGCTCGTTCGGGAGTGCGCCATATTGGAGCAATAGTTTAGCCACTGCCGTGTCTCTGTGGATGACGGCGCACATCAGAGGCGGCTGGCTGTTTGGTGGTGTCGGACCCACACTGGCGCCATGGTAGAGCAGGAGCTGAACCATATCCACGCTCCCTTTCATGACCGCCCAAACGAGCGGCGAGCGCTCCGCTCCGCTCCTTGCGGATGGATTTACTCTTGCATGATAAGAGAAAAGAAGATTGACCATTGCAGGATCACCCAGCACGACAGCCCAGACAAGGGGCCGGTAGCCCTGGATATCGGGTTGCTCCACATTGCTGCCTCCCCCCAGCAATACTGCAGCCAGCTCGATACAGCCATCCATGATGGCCTGAATCAGAGGGGTGAACCCGTGGCGAGCGACTTGATTTGGATCTGCCCCTCGTTTCACCAGCATCCGCGCCAACTTGACATCTTGTCGCTTGGCGGCCCAGAAGAGAACACTTTCACCGTGCGTATTCCGAGCATTGACATCTGCTCCTTTCTTCAGCAGCAGCTGTAATACGGCTTCGTTCTGGAACCGGGCTGCCAGTATCAACGGCGTATCGCTCTGTCCGTCCTCCGGGGCATCGAGCAAGGCTTTGTGGTGGGGATCTCTTGTCAGGAGCCGAACGATTTTCCCATACCCCTTGATTGCCGCATAGTGCAGGACCGTCATACCATGAGCGTCATGGACCCGAATATCGACGTGTTTGGTTTCCGCAAGAAATTCCACCGCTGAATGCTCGCCTCGAAGGGTGAGTAGCTGGAGCAGCCTGCATCCATGTATCAGAGGCGTCACAATGATTCTCGTACGTCTGTCGATGGCACCCATGGTGACCAGGTCTCTCGCCGAGAGCTTTCTCAATATGAGAATGTAGATCTCGACTGGCACTCGATTCATCGGATTGCGAGGCTCGACCTTTGAGTTCTCGGGGACACCACTGGAAAGAGTGCCTGACAGCTCGCCAGCCAGCCAGCATTTTTATACCACAGGTAAACTACCTTGGAAGGACCCCGGGATTACGTGATAGACCACTTCGCCGATCATGTTTCACGTCTATAATCATCATATCAGCTATATAGCCTGTTGTATATACTTTATTTACTTTATCTTCAACTGATTGGGACATTACTCCGCTGTTTTGTGAATCGAGTAGCGCCCATCGCAGATTGAGAAAAACGACATAGATTCAACAGTTGCAACCGCACGTCGATAGAACCAGCAGGACTTTTGGAGGCCTACCATGTGCTAAGGACCATACTCTCAAGAGACCCGAGGGTCCGAGTGCGGTGACACGATTTACAGCACGAAGCTAGCTCGGCACCCGTGATGATTGGTACATCAGGAACCCATCCAGGTGGTCCGTGGCCATCACAAACGAGGGAACTGAGAACTGAAGCAATGGGGGGAACCGAGAGAGAAACGAGGATGTAATACATCAGTAATTGGCTGACTCGCACAGCACCTTAAAGCCATTTCAAAAATGGTTCCCATCAATCCCACCACTGTTGCAAAAGGGTAAGTGTTAAAGAAGGGTTCAAAAAATGAGTTTGCGAGTCAGTGATGACTCTTCTCAATCCATCGTTGATGAACATTCTCTACGAATATCACAGCGGGATCATGTCATAAATGTATCGCTTGGCACTTGCATCAGATCGGCAGAGCTGACACGGACTAGACGCACATTGTCTCATCAAGACCTTGCTCTAGATTCCAAATTAGTTCTTGCTTGAGAAAAGCGTTGGAGTGAGCTGTTGGTTATGCTTTTGGATACCTCTGGTACCACATCTGTTCGGCTTCTTTTTTGATTATTCTTTGATATTTCATCCGCCGATGTCAATTTATAGTCTCAACTTCGAAGACATTGTTGGCGAAGATATATTTATATGAAGTACTCTTGCAAAGCTTACTTGTTTCCCGCTGCATCCTGTGAGTTCAATCTCTGTACTGTCATGAGTAGAAGTAAAACCCGACTATTCGGGCGCAAGTCGCTTTTGCGTCGAATCCGCCGGCGTGGGGTGAGACCTACCAGTCACCGTCCCAACTTGTTACAGCCTTCAAATAAAAGTGAGTGGCATCCATCTTCTATGATTAACTTTCTCGTCGCTTCTATGGAAGCGTTAAGTCGTAAAGGATACGGCCGGCCGTGGATCGATCCGGTGAAAGTCATTTTAGAAGAGGACTACTTTGATCTCAAGCTCTCACCACAACGACCGATTGAAAATTTGCAGAGGATAGTTGAGTTTCACCAGCTTGGCGAGGCAGACAACTATACCGCCGAGCATTGGAACCTTTCTGTCCTCAGGGCCATTGTGGACAATTACTTGCGTTCGAGCGAGGGCGCAAGGGGGAAGGTCCTGAGACGCAAGTATCTCATAGACATCCTCTGTCTTCGATCTATGAAATGTGTGATTGATGGATTCATTGAATGCTTCATCATTGGGGCAAAAGATTTCAATATTGGATATATAGAATGCTACGTTATCTTACGAGCACTAAGGATGGAGATCGATGAATTGCGATGAATACACAGGGAACTTTCACAGGCTGACAAATTTGCGACTTTCAAGATTGGGAGGTTGACATAAAGTACGGTTTACTATGGAGCAATATGTATGTAGGAATATGTAATATGACATGTGAGGATGAGAGGGGGGGGGATCTTACTATGGGAATAATGCGAGGCGAATATCACAAGGACCCGTGATTTCCAAAAAGATACATTGTACTTGGTAGCTGCAGAGTATTTGCCCCTGCGTACCTCCCAGTGTTGAAAGAGCGGAACTAGATGATTCCGTATCGGAGAGGATTTTCAGATTGGCCAACACGTGATACTTGTCTGCGTTGGAAATAGATATAGTCTGAATTGCATATTATGACTCTCGGCCTGGGCTCACAATTCTATATCCGACCTAAGGAAGACAACTAAAATTGAAACTCCAATTTAATACTTGACAATCAGGCCTGAATCCGGCTAAATGAGAGTGCTGCACGTATAGTTGCGTAATTGACGGGAAAACAGTATGTATTGTGAGACCTGAGGAAAGAAGGAAGAGAGAGAGAGAGGTCTGGATCTACTATCTACACCAGCGGGGACCCTGCAAACCAGGCAAACGCCCGCGCCGACCGTAATGATCACGTTCAACGAGTTGTCGGTTTGGGATACCCCCAAAAGGGACGCTCCGTAGATACTTGTGCCGCAATCGGCTGTGGTGTCCGATCCCAGCCTCTCCTTGACGAGGGGCAGATCGGTCTGATTCATCCCGAGGTTGGACAGCACTGTGGCTCTCCTAGATATATTCTTTATGAATCATGATCATGTGTAATTCGCTGTCTAATAAGTGGCCAGGTCCACCTACCATTGAATGAGTCATTACCTTTGGATTTGGGGATAACCATGAAATGCCTCCGGGGGATAGACGGAGTAAGCCGATTCTGCAATTCCTCGGTATCTCCTCTCGTAGGGGAGGAGTATTGAAACCGAGAAAGACAAGCCAGAGACTCCAAAGCCTCACGAAGAGACACCGTCTCTAAGCGTAATGGCTTTGATTACACAGGAAATTGAGCAACATAGATAACGCAATGTGTATTGGCTAGATCGGTGTTGAGATGAAGAGTTTCTTGACATGATGATGTATATATGATACGAGCAGTATAGCAACCTTCTCGTCACATGCTACAAATAGCTTTGGTAGATTTACGCATTTTCATTTGTCTAGAGATCATATACTGAGTCTTTCATCTATGCCTTTACAACAACGAACCGTTTTATACACTAACATTTACGTGATCAGCTGCTTTGACCCCGTCGCTGTTTATTAATACAGAGAGTCAGAGATTGCTGAGAGTTTAGGTTCTGTACATACCCAGCAAGAGGGAGAGATAGCTTAACGGCGCTTTATAACCAAGAAGAGCATTCCACCTCTGAGAGCTGTGCGTGCATGCCTATCAAAGTTTATCCGAGGCTTCTTCCCAACGCCATTCGAGCCTAACGGAAGACGCTAAGCTGGACTGATTCGCGCTGGGACAGTCTTTGTTGATTTGACTCGCTGCACCCCACACCATTTGTATCACAAGATGGCACCTCGTGCTATTTTACGTTTCTTGCATCTGGCACTCGCTGTAGGGGCAAACGTACAAGGCGCTCTCACACAGAAAGTCCTCTCAGCCACCAAACAGGTCAGCGATCGTCTTGTATTTGCTCATTTCATGGTAAGTATGGGACAGTGAAAGGGTCTGATCAACATGGACAATCAGATGACGAATTCACAGATTGGGACCAGCAGCAACCGCCGAAATATATCTGACTACGACGAGGACATGCGGCGTGCCAAATAACTGGGAATCGACGCATTCGCATTGAACATCGGTGTAGACGCAGACACCACCAAGCAGCTTGAGCTGGCCTACGCATCTGCCGGACAGCAGTCGATGAAGGTCTTCATTTCGTTTGATTTCAATTGGTGGCAAACTGATCAAGCCGTCGAAATCGGTGAGATGATTGCGCGTTTCGCCCCCCGGCCTGCTCAACTGATCGTGGACAACAAGGTGTTTGCATCGACTTTCGCCGGAGACGGACTGGATGTGCCGGCGCTGAGAGCAGCAGCAGGAATCCCACTTTTCTTCGCTCCCAACTTTGACCCAGGCCTGGACCTGAACGTTTCCTCCGTTGACGGCCTCTTCAACTGGATGGCCTGGCCTCACAACGGAAGAAACAAAGCACCCACACCACATAACAACATTTCCGTTGGCGAGGGTGACCAGCTGTACATAAACACACTGGCAGGAAAAGCCTACATAGCGCGTGAGTATTCTGACCCGCCGAACCCTGGCCCCTTTGACGCTCCCTGCGCTGACCGTCCGAAAGCTGTGTCGCCGTGGTTTTTTACACACTTCGGACCCGAAGTCTCCTACAGCAAGAACTGGATATTTCCTGCCGACTTGCTGTGGTACGACCGCTGGCGCGAGATCTTGGCAATGCAACCGCGCTTCGTGGAAATTGTCACATGGAATGATTATGGCGAATCCCACTACACGGGCTCGCTGCACGCCCCGCACACTGACAACGGGGCTTCGAAGTGGGTCAATGACATGTATCAGCTTCCCCCTGCGCGATCGTACCGAGTTCTAATGCTCATAGGCCCCATGACGGATGGGCAACGATGGCCAAGCCATTCATTGCGGCATTCAAGGCAGGGGCATCTTCTCCCGACGATTACATCACCTCAGACCGGCTCATCTATTGGTATCGCCCCGCGCTGCGCGGCCAAGATTGCGACTCCACCGATACATGTATGGCGCAAGCGAACAACCGTAGTGGGGACTACTTCCTTGGGCGACCAGATGGCTGGCAATCCGTGCGGGACTCTGTGTTCGTGGTCTCTCTGTTGCGGAGCCCCGCATCGATCCAGATCGGCTCTGGAGGCAGCCTGTATCAATATGCCGCGCCAGCTGGGGCATCTTCCCATGAAGCACCCATGAGTCCCGGAGAGCAATCCTTCTCGATTTCGCGCGATGGAACGACCATTCTTGCCGGAGTTAGCTTGAAGCCCATTATTGATGGCTGTGTGTGTGGCCTATATAACTTCAATGCTTACGGTAATCCCCTGATTCCTAAGCCTGCTCCCGGGCGCTCTACCATCGGGTCTACAGTCGATAGCGAAAACAGCTTCCTCCCTAAAGACTCGTTTTCTTTCCTCGGGCCCCACTGCCAAGGCATTAGCGCGAATATTTATTTGACGGGCCTCAATTATGAATATTACTGTGCAAGGTCATGAATGGTATTAACAGCAGAGTGACCGTATCAAATTCACCTATATTTTCCAGAATTAACGTTGTTCTAACATACTCAATCAAGTATTAGAGGGTGCGTACAACTGGTGGTCTCATGCGATGTTGGAATATTAAAGGCTTATCAGTAGTAGTGTACACAATCTAGCCTCCTATTTTTTGACCTATACAGAATTTCCTCCTCACTCCTATACCTTTACCCTGATTTGATCTCACGCCGATAACTCCTTCTAATTGAAGGCATAGTACCCTGGCTTATACTGATTAGGAATAATTTTCGATCTTGCACAGATTTCCATGGAACGCGGAAGATCTGGTGCACACAAAATGAACATGACGTCATGTCCATGCCATCAAAGAGACGCCTTTCTGTGCCCGCAACTTGCTGAATTAACCTCAACAAGATAAAACAGTCTACCCCCTACCACGTGCGATTCCTTCTAGTCTAGAGCCCCAGGCGAACATCACGCAAAACATCTCGACTCGGATCATGCTCCCTGATCAGTGGGGTGAGCGACCCACAGGATTTATTCTGCAGGTTTGCACAACGGTCGTTCAGGGCCTGTTCAGCACCTGTTCACGCACTCTGCGTGCCAGTTACTCTTTCGTCGCTGCCAACACTGCCATTCCCTCCAGGTATGTTTCACAAATAGATAGGGTTCTTAAGTCTACAGGCTCCATAATCTTCGCCAATGTTAGTCCAAGACCGAATGTGCTTCTTCACCCAATCACGGGGCAAGTAACATTGCGCTAGTCTGCAAACGGTCTAAACGTAAGCATTCCATAGCGACTAACTTAGGTCCTGGCGGATGTGATTGTTTATTTGTGTATATCCGTGGAAGTGGGTCCACAAAGCTCAGCCTTGAGGCAGTGTCCGGCCCGACACGCTCCGCTGTGGATAACACGTACCCCCCTCCCCCGCCCGCCGCTGCGTGTTTGTCGCGGGGCTAAGCGTTTCCTAACTCGCAACTTTTTGTTGCTCTCTTCCCTCCAAGACCTTTGTTTCCTCTCCAAAATCTTCTCTTACCTCTACGCCCATGGTGCTGCCTCCACGGATCAATAATGTCTGACCCTAAGCAATACACCGTGGGGTGGATTTGCGCCATCAGTACGGAGTACACGGCGGCAAAGGCTTTTCTGGATGAGACGCACCTAATGCCGGAACCTCTCTCTCCGGCGGACAACAATGCCTATACAGTAGGCATGATCGGCAAGCATAAGGCCGTCATTGCAGTCTTACCTGACGGTGAGTACGGTACCGCATCTGCAGCAAGCGTGGCACGAGACATGCTGCATAGCTTTCCAAACATCAAAATTGGCCTGATGGTCGGCATCGGTGGCGGCGCACCAAGCCCCAAGCATGATATTCGCCTGGGCGATATTGTGGTCAGCGCATCTCGAGATGGACGGGGTAGTGTTTTCCAGTACGACTTTGGCAAAGCGATACAGCATCAAAGTTTCCAACAAACAGGAGTCCTAAACCAGCCGCCAACATCCTTACGAACGGCGCTCAGTGCACTGAAGAGTGATTATGAGAGCGACGGGCATCGGCTTGAAGAATCTATCAACAGTATTCTAGAACAGAAGCCAAGACTACGGAAGAAGTACAGGCGGCCGGAAGCAAGCAGTGATAAGCTATATCGAAGCGAGTTTGTTCATCCTGTCGACGAAGCAAGCTGTGCAGTGACATGCGGCGATGCTCGGTCTCACTTGGTATCGCGACAAGAACGGACAGACGACGAGGATAACCCTGCCATTCACTATGGCTTGATTGCATCCTCAAACCAGCTGATGAAAGATGCCTTGATTCGGGATAGGCTTGTTGTTGAAAAGGATGTTCTTTGCTTTGAGATGGAAGCGGCGGGGCTCATGAACCATTTCCCCTGCCTCGTGATTCGCGGCATATGCGACTATGCCGACTCCCATAAAAATAAAGAGTGGCAAGGGTATGCAGCGATGGTGGCAGCTGCATATGCGAAGGACCTTCTGCAGAGAATTTCTCTGAACAGAATTGACGCCGAGGAGAAAATTAGTGTCATTCTATCTGGTTTGTCAAGGTAGTCTTATCATTATCGCTCGAATACATAATAACCAGCAAAATGATACAGATGTGCTGAAAAGTACCAACCAAAATGCAGAGCGGGCGTACGACCAACGAGAGCGACATCAAGATGAGCAGAAAATAAGAGCTTTAACGGAGCAACAACAACGCTGTCATCAAGTTTTCAAGAAATCAAACTACGAGGAACAAAAAAACGTGAATCCATGCCGAGCGGAAGGAACTTGCCATTGGGCGTTACAGAGTTCCGAATACCTTCGTTGGTTAACTAGCAGCCACAATGACCTTTTATGGGTCTCCGCCGATCCAGGCTGCGGGAAATCTGTCCTGGCCAGATCAATTATAGATGATCAGTTGCTAGCTTCAAGTCCAGCAGTGACTATTTGTTACTTTTTTTTCAAAGACAATGAAGAGCAAAACCGACTTGATGAAGCTTTATGTTCCATACTGCATCAGCTCTTTGATCAGCAGCCCCACCTATTACCTTACGCCATAACCTCATGGGAAAGGAATGGAGAGGCGCTCCGAAATGAGGCTGATGAGCTGTGGCGAATCTTCATAGCGGCAACATCATCTAATGCTTCGTCCCAGACGATCTGCATTTTGGATGCACTTGATGAATGCCGTGATGTTGATCAGGATCGATTGATTCAGAAGCTCCAGCTCTTCCACCGCCAGAAATTTGCACCGACCAAAGAGACCTCTTTGAAGTTTCTAATCACTAGTCGTCCCTATGACCGTATCCAGAATGGCTTCCAACCGACCACGGACTCTTTTCCACATCTGCACCTGAAGGGCGAAGAAGAAAATGATCAGATCCACAGGGAAATAGATCTGGTGGTGAAGATGCGAGTAAGAGAGCTGGCCGACACAGCACCGCTATCATGGGATATACAGCAGCGGCTGGAGGCGAAATTGTTAGGAATGGAACACCGCACATATCTTTGGCTATATTTGGCCATTGACGACATTCGATCTACCTTTGAGAATAGCCTTTGTCCCGCCGAGGAATCAGTTCAAATGATACCTTCGTCGGTCGGCCAGGCATATGAGAAGATTCTTAGTCGAGTGCCTCCTGGCCAGGAGAGCATCGTGAAAAAGGTCTTGCAGATCATTGTTGGAGCACGGCGGCCTTTGACGATAGCAGAAATGGCTACCGCGTTGGGCTTGGCTCGATCCCCACAATCGCGGCCGGCAGCACTGGCTGTAGTTGATCCACTGCGGCTGGAGACGAAGCTCCGTCGTTTATGCGGCCTTTTTGTTTTCGTCAAGAACTCCAAGATCTATCTGATTCACCAGACAGCAAGGGAATTTCTCATTGAAAAGGCAAATTCGAACGATCTGAATTTTTCATACGCATGCGGCCTCAATGACACTGAGAACCAAATGGCTGTTTTGTGCGTGCAGTATCTATTAGCAGAAGATGCTGAAGATTTCACCGGCGCATCGCGGGCTTCTGAGAGCCTTTTGGGATATGCAGCTATACATTGGCCCGATCACGTGAGACACATGACATTGAGTTCAGACCAGGAGATGATTGATCGAGTACGTCGATTGTATGACACATGTGAAGAGCAATTTTCTCCATGGCTGTCCCTCTTCTGGCAAGCAGTGATGCCAAACCGGAGAGCGCCTCGAATGAATGCACTGCAGCTGGCAGCATTCAATGGCCATACGCAACAGGTTAGCTTGCTACTTGCGACAGATAAGTTGGATATTGATACACCGGATACTACTAATACATATCCGCTTACATGGGCTTCACTGCATGGTTCCGATGAAATTGTGAAGATGCTGCTAGAGCAAGGAGCCGATGTCAACGCCCAGGGTAGAGACTACGGAAATGCCCTCTACGCGGCTTGTTCCGGAGGACACGACAAGATCGCACAGATGCTGCTAGAGCAAGGAGCCGATATCAACGCCCAGGGTAGATATTTCGGAAATGCCCTCTACGCGGCTTGTTTCGGAGGATACGATAAGATCGCACAGATACTGCTAGAGCAAGGAGCCGATGTCAACGCCCAGGGAGGTATTTACGGAAATGCCCTCCAGGCTGCTTGTGACGGAGGACATGATAAGATCACACAGATACTGCTAGAGCGAGGAGCCGATATCAACGCCCAGGGTGGACACCACGGAAATGCCCTCCAGGGTGCTTGTCTTAGAGGACACAATAAGATCGCGTATATACTGCTAGAGCGAGGAGCTGATGTCAACGCCCAGGGCGGAGAGCTCGGAAATGCCCTCCAGGCTGCTTGTTCTGGAGGACACGATAAGATCGCACAGATGCTGCTAGAGCGAGGAGCCGATATCAACGCCCAAGGTGGTGACTACGGAAATGCCCTCCAGGCTGCTTGTTCTGGAGGACACGATAAGATTGTACAGATACTGCTAGAGCGAGGAGCCGATGTCAACGCTCAGGGTATAGACTACGGAAATGCCCTCTACGCGGCTTGTTCCGGAGGACACCACACGATCGCACAGATGCTGCTAGAGCGAGGAGCCAATATCAACGCCCAAGGTGGAGGGTACGGAAATGCCCTCCATGCTGCTTGTTCCGGAGGACACAATAAGATCGCACAGATGCTGCTAGAGCAAGGAGCCGATGTCAACGCCCAAGGTGGAGACTACGGAAATGCCCTCCAGGGTGCTTGTCTTAGAGGACACGACAAGATCGCACAGATACTGCTAGAGCGAGGAGCCAATATCAACGCCCAAGGTGGAGGGTACGGAAATGCCCTCCATGCTGCTTGTTCCGGAGGACACAATAAGATCGCACAGATGCTGCTAGAGCAAGGAGCCGATGTCAACGCCCAAGGTGGAGACTACGGAAATGCCCTCCAGGGTGCTTGTCTTAGAGGACACGACAAGATCGCACAGATGCTGCTAGAGCGAGGAGCCAATATCAACGCCCAAGGTGGAGGGTACGGAAATGCCCTCCATGCTGCTTGTTCCGGAGGACACAATAAGATCGCACAGATGCTGCTAGAGCAAGGAGCCGATGTCAACGCCCAAGGTGGAGACTACGGAAATGCCCTCCAGGCTGCTTATTCCGGAGGACACGATAAGATCGTACGGACACTGCTAGAGCAAGGAGCCAATATCAACGCCCGGGGTAGAGACTACGGAAATGCTCTCCAGGCTACTTATTCCGGAGGACACGATAAGATCGCACAGATGCTGCTAGAGCAAGGAGCCGATATCAACGCCCAGGGTGGATACTACGGAAATGCCCTCCAGGCTGCTTGTTCTGGAGGACACGATAAGATTGTACAGATACTGCTAGAGCGAGGAGCCGATGTCAACGCCCAGGGTAGAGACTACAGAAATGCCCTCCAGGCTGCTTATTCCGGAGGATACGATAAGATCGCACAGATGCTACTAGAGCAAGGAGCCGATATCAACGCCCAGGGTGGATACTACGGAAATGCCCTCCAGGCTGCTTGTTCCGGAGGACACGACAAGATCGCACAGATGCTGCTAGAGCAAGGAGCCAATATCAACGCCCAGGGTGGACACCACGGAAATGCCCTCCAGGGTGCTTGTTCCGGAGGACACGACAAGATCGCACAGATACTGCTAGAGCGAGGAGCCGATATCAACGCCCAGGGTGGACACCACGGAAATGCCCTCCAGGGTGCTTGTTCCGGAGGACACGACAAGATAGCACAGATGCTGCTAGAGCAAGGAGCCGATATCAACGCCCAAGGTGGAGACTACGGAAATGCCCTCCAGGGTGCTTGTCTTAGAGGACACGACAAGATCGCACAGATACTGCTAGAGCGAGGAGCCGATATAAACGCCCAGGGTGGAGGGTACGGAAATGCCCTCCATGCTGCTTGTTCTGGAGGACACCACAAGATCGCACACATGCTGCTAGAGCGAGGAGCCGATATCAATGCCCAGGGTGGAGACCACGGAAATGCCCTCCAAGCAGCTCATCGGGGAGGTTATCACCACATAGTGAAACTTCTCCAGGAACATCAATATGCTGATCAGTCGACCTCCCAATCTTCCCCTTCCAAAAGGCTGAAGGTTTCATCATGATCGTACATTACCATGTTCAACTCAAACTTCTTAATACCTCCTATCGTCGTTTTCGTTCTCTCCCTAGGTAGTTGTCCTCTAGTCCTTACTCTCAGTACTGAAACAATTTGTCTATGATCCATAATCCTTGATCCAGCCATTTCAAAAAATAATGAAATGGGAAGCACAGAACCCAAATGAACCTGCTTGGCTTTTTCAGTCAATCTAATGTGACTTACTCAACTAAAGAGATTTTCTCTCATTACCTGGGCCGGCTGTCTGTTACCCTATCCTACTTACCTTTTGGGTCCATGTGACACGCATCAAATCAGGCGGTCTTGTAGGATTCTTAGATAAACATGAAGCTTTCTGAATTGTTATTGTTGGCGATCACGTGACTTGCATGTGAAGATGCACGCGATCACACTTCCCAGGACTTCATTAGTATTACTGTAGCTAGCATTCTCTCTCTTCCTTTTTCTCTCCAGAGTCAATATTATTACCTTCTGGGTTAACATCTTTCCTGCGTAGCCTTCATATTCGCCGACAGTTATACATACCCCTTGGTTCTGGCAATTGATGGATGTTTTATAAGCAATATGATAAGCAAACAAAACATATCAAACAGAACAAACATGATTCTCAGCCTCATTTCTGACATCATGTCATGTGATAGGTACCAAAGGCAATTTGCTATACTGACAGCACAGTGTATCAGTGTTTTCCGATATTGTCATATTCAGCAACACATGATAAACAGTTGACTAAAAATTGCGCACTAATGTCTCGAAAGTGGGGCCACAAAATAGAAAAGCAGTTCTTGGGGCGGAAGCTGATTTCGCTATCGACTGTACATCAGTTTGGTCAAAACAGAGAATGAGATCTTGCTAGGTGCGGTGATTCACAGATACCACGATAGCTGTGTCATCTAGTTCAACCCTCCTTTGCGGAAATTTCTTGCCCACAAGTTCCTTCAACTTTGGCTGCAGGAACAGACGCCAATAGAACCGAGGAGCCAAAACCAGGTCTTGCTCTGTATTCTTTCTGACAACCTTGTTGTTGAGAGTCACTTTCCACACAATCCAGTAGTGCAGATAAGTAGGTGGAGATTCGTCATACGACTTTCCCTCCTCCCACTCGGATAGTTGAAGTAGTGGTATCTGACTCGGCTCCGACTGCCTATCTGGCAAGGCAGGTGATTCATCACCCAAAACGTTGTTATAATCGATAGAGCCAATAACGGATGGTGTTCTGGGTATATGGTATCCTGGGGTTGGTGCGAATAGCGAGGATTGGTCCGTTTGATCAAAGGTGTCAAATCGTAGGTCGTTTTGAGTATCATAAAGACTGCAGGCCATGCTTCCGGAACTAATGTGTAGCTTCGTCAGAAATCTTCATTGAGAGATACCGCGGAGCCTGGATTCTTGAAAGTATCATTTCTGCGAAGCGTACCTGGAGAGAGCGGTGGTGTTGAGCACGACAAAGAAACAAGGGACTTGCGTTGTGAGTTGACAGGTAGTGGGAGACCATTGTGCCAACATCAGACATTGTTGCCGCGGGCCCACTCACTCACCCCAATGCTCAGTGAGCATGATCGTGTCGAAGTGTTTTGCTGGTTGTAGACCCGGGGGCATTGGGGTATACGGAATTGCACGTGACAGGGCCAGGCTTGGTTGGGTCTCGGCTGCCAATCAGTAAGTTGCGGTGTCAGGGGTCGTCTCCTTCACCAGGTACATGCATCATGTTTGTTTTGTTTGCACTATGATCTTCAAGGCTCCATGGTATTCCATTCAAGATCGACAATGATTCCCAATTAGGATAGGGCAGAGTACCTTAATCTTGAGGGCATCCCTAATTTATCGGTTTAACTGGTTTAAACATCAAGTCAGGTGTCAATTTACCATTTTGGAAAATATAATGCGGGAGAAAAATGCTCAGCACTTTGTAGGCTGAACTGTGCACAGTACTAGTCTATCATGATCAATAGAATATGATGATTTCTCAATAGTGCCACTTGGATGGTTTGACGTATGCATTTTATTTAGTAATCATTGTGAACTGTACGATATCTTGAGTAAAATCACAACTGTAACGATACCGTAAATACTATACAGTACTTGAAGCTGTTGGCAGTATATTGGGGCCTGTCAAATAATTTCCTACACTAACGCCTTGGCAGCGGGGCTCGAAAATAAAAAAGCTATGCTTGGGGCGGAAGCTGATTTCGCTAATGACTGTAACTCTTGCGGTGTAGTTGGAACCCTTCCGCTATCGACCCTAGACACGCTACAAGCAGATGGCTTGGCGTCCTTCTCTCAGGGACTCCAAGTGCAAACTTGCAAGCCAACGCCATCTCTCGTGGCCCTTGAACAGACAAACAGCGCAAGCCTTGCTCCGCCTGTATAGGCGGATCTCGATGGAACTTCTTCAAGAAGTGGCAGATAAAGATCTTCAACATAGTTCCTGTTCTCGGGGATGGCTAGTGTCATGAAAATTGCGATTACAATGGTGAATCTACGGAAACTTACCAATAAGGCTTTCGCTTCAACAAGACCTAGTCTGCGCGGAGTTGCCTTTAGCACTTTCCCTTTGTGTATTTGGATGATCCTTTACAGAAACGATTTCCTCACAAAGAGTCAAGAATCCTGAGCAAGGAATCCCTGTTGTTTTGTGCAAAGCCGCTTCTTGCAACCGTTTGCGTGTCCAGCTCAAGAAATTCTATACTCCACACACCGTTCTACTTAATACTAGAGATGATCATTTCTAAACTGCATTCCGTTGTAGTCTGCTTCTACGACAACAATATTGAGGACAGGCGGATCTACGGAGAAGCACGAATCGCTTCAAAACAGTAGATTTTGGCTGTGAAGCAAAAGGACCGACTGGGGAAAAGAAGGAAGAGAGAGAGAGGGAGAGAGAGGGAGAGAGAGCTATCTAAGCAAGGGGGGTCATCTGACCTCCCAACAAATATCAACCGTGGTAATTACTCTCCGTCCTCAACTTGGATTATGGAACTTAGTCAAGCACACTGCGCTTCCATATAGTCAACATTGCTGGACAAAGTGCTTTTTACATGGCATAGTTCCAAGCTTCCTTCAACCTAGAAAAAAACAACGAAGCAGATGTGGGGTCCTTTGTCGGTTGTCCAGAACAACCGACAGGTCTTGTATACAACATCGTAGGGATTGCAAGGTCAATAAAATCCCGTATACCTTTCAGGTCTGCAGACCGTTGGGAAAATGATCAAAAAAGAGCTGAATTTTTGGAGCATCACTGCAACAGGTCGAATGAATTATCCCATTAGACGGGTGGCTTTCTTATGGTAATGATAGTCTTCCTTCCTATAGATACCTAGGTAGTAGTCTGGACACTATAATTGCAATATTGACATTGGGCCTTTTATGCCAAATCCAGACTAGGAAATTCTGGGCGTAGAAGAGGATCTTGGAGCATCAATCCAATGATCCGATCCAAAGAGGAACTCAACGACCAAAAGAACTCATGTCTTATCGACGAGTTCGAGGTCTAAGGTTGTATTTGTGCAAATTGGTGGATGGGGAGCCTGTATCTATGTTCCTGGTGACTACCCTCTCGATTACTTTTTTGATTTTCTTGGCCGGCGATTTTGCGTTGGCTTTCCTGGTCGGCGATTCCCCATTGATTTTCTTGGCCGGAGATTTTGCATTGATTGGATCATGTCTGAGATGTTCAAAGACCAATACATCTTCTTGTTGGAAAAACCGGGAGATCTGGATGGCTCCGGCCTTCCCACAATTGAGTTCAACGATTTGTAAATGCCTGTTGAAGAATCGCCCATGCTTGCCACGAAAATACTTTTTAAACCACGCCTTAACCGTCTTTCGAGTTTGACGATGGACCTTTATCACGCTAACGCCACTAAGCTCCACGATGAGAATAAAGCCCCTAGGTTGCCGGGGCTTTAGTGCAAACTGAAGCGATTTGGGGAAGTCCAAACCCAGACAGATACGTTTGTTGGGAACTTCGTTGAACCCGGGATTAACATTATCCTCCTGTCTTTGAGATTGAAGATCATCCTTATTGTGGGGTTTGTGGCCATCGGTCAAGCTGATTTCATGTTGGCTATGGCCGATCATCTCCACCTGGGCCGCTCTTGTGTTTTCCGACTTCTCTTCTCCGCAATGTAACACTGCCTTTGGTGACCTGACATCCACCTCGTTGTTACAAGAGTGAGGATGATCAGGTGTATCGCGTCTTCGCTTTCTGTGTTTTCCGTCTGATTCGGGAAATAAATTGCGAGCCCCGATTTCTGTCATTTTTGATAGACTTTCAAAATGGGTCTTTAGAGTCCCTTGACCCGGTAGAGAGATGCCTGAACCACAAGGTAGAGGGTTAGGCCTCGTTGGTAGAATATCAACTATGCTACTGGGATATGTGAACGCAGTGTAAATAGGATCGGCCGGTGACACCTTGGTTTGGAACGTCATGTTGTCTTGTATATCAGGACCCATTTCCCCTGGGGTGGGAACCGGTTCTTGCACTGCCCGATCTAGATGCACATCTTGAGGAGGCCTCTGGGTGAAGGAGCTTGGTGCTGTGACTGATGCTGGGATTGTCGCTAGCGAGTGGCTGAGAGTAGTGGATTGGGGACAATCTGTAGTCTGCTTCTTGTTCATTACACCTTGATTCCGGGAATCACGTACTTTGCTAGAAACACGACCAAACATTGGGCTGAACTTTGGCCAGTCTTTTATGATCGGTCGAGTCGGAGGCGGACTTGTTGGCATTGTAGCCGGTGCTGCTCTAGCGCGCTGCATCGGGGGTTCTGTAGGAGTGGACTCGAAGGTAGCCGGTTTGTTCGCAAAATCCAGGCAGATAGGAGGTATATTTTCTGAACGAGCGTGGTTGCGAGAGGGTCTTGTGCGTGGCACAGAGCAGCAGCTTTGCATTTGTGAGGTCTCAGGCGGCTCAGGTTGATCACGGCCTTGCTGCGGAAGCGGCCCCGACTTCGTGTGCGTATCCCTGTCTGTTGCTGATCCATGTACAAATGCAAATGCCTCTTGAGTGGCCGCGATCGATCTCGGTCCGTCTACTTGTCCGTTATGTTGTCCCATAGGTAATGGGTGCTGGCGTAGCATACCCCAGCCAGATGCTGCGTCTAGCCGCTCTTTCACGGGGGATTCTATGCAGGCGCGTTTGACAACCAAGTTTTTGACTTCGAGCCTTTCCCCCTTTCTTTTTCGATGTAATCCTTCCCCAATACCACTCCTCTCGGGACTCGGCTCTACTGTAGCCAGCATTGGAAGATAGGACGCTCCGAATCCAGCGACCCTGCCATTGTTAGGACTCGCTTGATTGCTTGCAGAGGTCACGTTAGGTCCTCCCCATCCCTGATATTGAGGTTGTACCATGAGAGCGGATAATGCAGATTCCACGGGCCGCTCGTAAATTGGGTCCGGGGGAATAATGGTGGGTACGTGGAAGACAAGTCCCTCCATGGAGTCCTCTCCCTCTCCCTGTGTTTCACTCGCATTCTCCACCGTTGGGGGTTGCCAGTTGGACCTGCTCGCTGCGTCGTTCTCATTCGGGGAGGGTATGTATTGTGGGTGCCCATCCATAGACGGCATTACTTGTTCTGCAGCGATCCTGTCATCCCTGGAACTCGCTTGATTGCTTGCAGGGGTCATGTCATCTCCTCGCGACCCCCGATACTGGGGTTGTAACATGAGAGGGGATAATGCAGATCCCACGGGCCGCTCATCAGGTGGGTCTGGGGAAACACAGTTGGGTACGTGGAAGACAAGTCCCTCCATGGAGTCTTCTCCCTCTCGCTGTGTTCCACTCACATCCTCCACCGTTGGGGGCTGCCAGTTGGACCAGCTGGCGGCTTTGCCCTCGTTCGGGGAGGATTGGTGCCGAGTCACCTTATGGAAAGGCCGGACTGCTTCGTGTCTAGAATGTGGGGATGTGGACAAACTACGGCAGGTCTGGGTCGTGGCGGTGGAATCATGATTGTCGACGTCGCCTTGACTGACTGGCAAGATACCCGCGCGATCCTCCCGACTCGGCGTTGAGGAGGGGCTTTCTATGCCAGGCGAGGTTGGGGTCGTCTGTAGGTAAAACGGAATGGTCTGCTCGTAGCCCTCCGATGGTGTCTGCTCCTGTCTTGTGTCGTCGAGTTCCATGTGGGCAGACGGAAACGCCACTGGCGGTGTCGATGTCTTATCAGCGTGCGACGAAGTCAAACTATCAATGTCCACCAACATTCTATCGGGTGTTCTGGGTTCATCTTGGCACGAAGACACCGACCCTTTGTATCGATTATCTTGCCAGGAGAGAGCAACGTGAGTTTCAAGCGGTCGATCATGGGAGAATAAGGTGTGACTTACCTTCATTGCGACTTTGAAGCAAGCAACTGCCCGAGTTGGTGGCAGCGTGGTCCTCGCCCAGCGCACTGAAAGGGATGGAGTCGGCCGAAGGGATGCTCTGCGCCGTACTAACTCTCGTTGGAGAACCCGCATTGCTTAATACCTCATTTTGCAGGGGACTCCCTTCATCACTAAAGCTGGTCGCGTCAAACATGCTCATACAATCATTGTAATGTCGGACGTCCCCCAGAGAGGAGCCTTGAGGGCCATCCTGGCTCTTGTCAAGGCGACCATCGTCCAGAGGATCAGAGTATGTGGTATCAACATACCCGCTCGGCACTCCGGGTTGGACTGGTTCCAGCACTATCCCCGAGGGTATGGGCCTTTCGCTGTGAGAAAATGGTCGCCGGTATTGATCCGTCTCAACCGGTTGACACCACGCAGGTTCAATGTACCCGGGCGGGTCATGGCCCTGGGAACCGTCCTGCCTCCCCCGTTCCATTTCCACCGAATTGAGTCCGCTTCCCGCTGGGGGACTTGCGGTCTTTCTCGTGTCCTCATCCGGCATCAGTTGGCTATCTACAAAAACACTCTCTGATGGGTCGGCCCGTACAGGCAATGTCTCCGCAAAATTCCCTCCAGTGGCGTTCGCTCCGAGTTTATGCCAATTTCTGTGTTGCGAGGCTTTGAGTCCCTTGCCTTGGCCTGGTAGTAAGTTCACATTACCCTGTGGTTTGATGAGTTTCTTGGAGGGATGCTGCGAGTAGTCCAGATCTAGCCACTCCAAAGCATCACCGACGTGTTTAGTCGGATACGACGACCTTGTGAGGGTTTCATGAGACGGCTCCAAATCCCATCTTCTATCCGGCGTAGGGTCCACAGAGTAACCGTCACTCCAAATCGAAGGAGCCATCCCCGCTGACGCTGCGATCCGTAAATCGGGCGTCACCAGACTAGGCGGGTACGATACAGTGCTTGAAACATTCTGTTTGCTGGCGCGACGGGCATTCATCTCTTGATCCCTCACCTCCGGGCCAGCGGTCGCAGGTCCTGGACTCGAGGAAATTCCAATACCAACGTCAGGTTCAACTGGACTGCTCCCATCCGGAGTTTGTCTCCCCGTCGAACGGCTTGGGTGATCGATTGTCTCCGGATGCTGTCCCTCGGCGAATGTACAATTTAGATGTGACCGGCCAACCTGTGCAGTCGACTGGAGAACTTTAGAGGTATTCGAACTCAGTCCCGCCGGTTGGTGCTGATCCGGCTCAGGCCTGTAAGAACCACTTTTGGTTGATAAAAATGGCTCTTGTATATCATGCTCCCTTGGTGGTGGTATGCCTTGATTCCCCCGTTGGAGACTATCCATCTCGTCGGCTTCAAACATCCCTATAGGGCTGCCATGGTCGCTTGTCTCACCTAAGGTTTGCCCTCCCAGAGGTCCTTCAGACTTTCTCGTCGCGGTGTGATCTTCCCGTCGAACAGGTATCACATTCTCAATAGCTGATTCGTATTCACTTTCTCCTTCACTGTCTAATGGATACTCTAGGGGTGACGAAGCTCTGTTGTCAGGTTCAGGTACGGTTTCAATCTCCATTGTCTCGTCAGCAGCGGATTCGTATTCACAGCTATCTCTGCTACGAACCCTTTCCTGAGGGGCTGGCAAACGCTCACTGTCGGTATGAATAACTGTCTGAGACTGGGAACAGGAAGTTTCGTGTAGACTTGGGATCTCAGCATACGGTGAGGGCGAGAATGGATGCGCGAAAAATGCACGGTAGATACATGCTAGTTCTACCAGCGGGGTAACATTTTCGAGCTTCAGATGCTTCTGTGCTGCGCGAGTCCCGAAGTTCTCTGCAAAGTCAAAGTACATGTATTTCCTTGCCTTTCTTGACTTCTCAAGCCACGTGGTGGCCTTTGGCCCGAGACGCTCCTTCCGTTCAACCGGGATATCATTTCTCCATGGGGAGCTCTCGAGGCCCACAGTTGTTTCCCGAGCAGGCACCTCGTACCGCATAGCAAGCTCGTCTATTCGGGGTGAGTAGAAACCTAGCTGCTTTGCCACATAAGCCAGGTGGTTTGGATCTATATCTCTCGGGTCGTCATGCCGCATCACGAAAAGCCAGAGCTGACGGCAACTCAGTTCTCGACGATCTTGAAAAGGTGCATCGATTGTCCTCCAGCCGTTGAGCGTTTGAATGCGGTACCTATCACAGGCGTTTCTTTCGGTGGTGTACAGCACTCTGAGCACGCTCTCGAGCGGCGTTGCACAACCCCGCCTGCGTTTCCCGGTCTTGATATCAAGCAAGTCTTTCATACAAACTGAGATGCCTTCTAGGACCCGCATGTGCACTGTAAACAGTTTCATTGACGGAACTAGACCGCTCTTCCTTTGGATAGAACGCCTAAGGGCATTTCTGTGCTTGCTGCTCAATCTGCAGAAAGGCCCCGCCCTCGCAAACACCTCGCGGACTTGCATGCGATCATCTTCTGAAACCACAGGGATACAACCCTGTAGTCTTTCGAATACTTCTGATGGGAAGTCTTCGGGTTTCATCTCGTTGAGGCCATCCACTCGAGATTGGCTTTCGCTGACGACATCATTCCAAAAGCCCAGGATGTAGCCTATCAGATACTTTTCGATTGACTTGGTCACCGTTAGAACTCATACGATTGGCTTGCTTGCACGACACTCACATACAATTTCGCAGAGTGTTGCATGGTAAGCCTTTCCATTACCAGAAGGGTAATCATACATTATGGTCGGTAGATCCCTCCTCACTCTGTTGACTGCGTCATTTAATCGATTGCAGTTCTGTATCGTCGTGAGACCATCCTGTATACCAGGCCCCAGTGTAGATTTGAGTAATTTATTGAGCGGTCGACCCTCCCAGTTCTCCGAATCGAGAATCTTCGAGTAGATTTGACCACCGCTCGGTGTGATGTGCAGAGGGATCTTGTTTTGGATGTGGCTTTTCTGAGAATTGGTGATATCTTGCGTGGCTCCTTATCAGTATCTTTCTTCCTTGTAGTCTATGCTTTGCCCGTACTCACTGTTGAGAACGATGTGTACAGGGCCGAATCCACTGGTGCCTGGCCCAAGGATTGAGCTCAAGGCGGCTCTAATGCGTGACTGACCATCCAGACATAGCAGTTGGCGTTTCTGAAATGTAAGCGACGGCGCACGTCCCTCATCACTGGAAGTGCTGTTTCTTCTCCTTGCATCTTCGAGTTCCTCCTGCGAGACTGCGACGATTGGCGCGTTATCCCACTTGTCGATACAGCTTGGGTCGCTTTTGAAAATCCTCTTCCACCTATCTACGTCCCTTTCAAGGCAGAACTTCTGTTTCGCGGAATCGATCTGAATGCGGTCATATTTGACGAGGGCGCGCCCCTGGTATTCTTTCCAAGCGGCAATCTCGAGACCCATGCTACCCACCTTGGTGGTATCCGATGCGGGATGGTGTCATTATATCTACTCCGCCTAGGGGTTGGTCGCAATTGGATAAGCAGTTCATTTTTGGACCTCATACTTCCGGGGTCCTCAACCCGCTCTTGTAGTAACATAACGCTCAGAACTGCTCGTCAATCCTACGGTTGCCCTCGCTCGTCACATGTACCAGGCAAGCACTCGTGTTCCCTACATGTGATATCACTATTGGAAATCGACAGCGCGAGAGGCATCAGAGCATAGTCATGCAACATACAACCGGGTTGGCTACAAATACGCCGCGTCAATCTTCACCGATCCTGCCATTCTATGCAAGCTGATTCAAAAAACCCGTCCATGTTCGACCCGTCCCAAAGCCGGTCCCACGCACCATCGGCCCCAGTCAAATATCTCTGCATGTTACCTAGTCCAGATTTCATAAATTCGACAACGTTCCTGCCTGCGTACTATTAGGATATGGTTGTGACAGGATCGTGAATGGAAAGACTATACCGGGTAAATGTCCCTGTCGCCGGCTTTGGGCCTGTCTATCGCCAGAGTGTCGTAAGAGTAGCGATTTTAACGTGGTCCAAATTTGGAGCATATCTTCTGTTTCGGCGGCTCGGATGTCCCGGTACTTCACCACGTCATCTAATTCAGCCAAAGACCTCCTCAAGCGGTAGAAGTTCAGGTTGTAAAGAAACGCCTGGGGTGAACTGAAAGGATATTATCTGCTTACCTGGAACCACAGGATCTGATTCTTCTTGCTCTTTGCCTTCCCCTGGCGTGCTCTGCCTGGCTCATGGTCGGGAGTTGGGCCGCAGGCATTCAAAAAGTCCCACAGACGGCCGAACCCACGGTGGATGTTTTGGCTGGACTGGTCCTCTAATCTCAGTCCACGAAGTCGCCCTCGATCAAACTCTAGCCTATGGGGGGATTCAACAATAAAGTTTCTTAACCAAACGCATGAAAGAATTGGATATCTCACATCGGCGACCATTAGGTCCGGATGGAGCTGGGTAGTCAGCAGGTGTCGTACCCGATGTAGCCTATCGCCGCTCAGGGGCTGGATTTGGCCCATTAGGTCAAACCCGAAGAAGGTTGCCAAGAGAGTGTCCCCGTACCGCTGCTCAGGTTCGAACGGGCTCTGTGGATAGCAGACCCGGGGATTTTCAACCGCACGACTCTGGTCAATACATGAGGCTTTCCTTGCCGGGGACTGGAGCAGTGACCCCTGGTCTGGATCCACGTACTTTGGAGCCCTTCGATTTTTGAACAGAGGAGACAGACTCCGGCCCTCATTAGCAGACCTCGGTTGAGATTGCCATTTGATATACGTGGGGGGAGACATTTCCGTTGAAGGATCAACGTGGGACGCACCACGACGCACCTTCTGCTTCATCTGCAATCTACGCTCAGGCTTCACACTTTCCACTCTGTCTGGCAAGCAGACAGGGAGTTGTCCTTGTTCAGCTGTCAAGCCAACTATCAAGCAACTGAGATCTGTGCCGCCGGTAGGAAAGGGTGAGAGACGCAGAGCTCTGGGCTCTTCATCGCCACTTTTCTCGTTTTCTGGTCCCGATGGGGGCTGATGTTGCATGCTACTGTCGGATGGCTCTAGCGGTAGTGGTTTGTTTTTAGGGTCAAGGTTAGGGTCTAGTTCTATGGCGTGGTCGGCCCGCACCGGGCATAGAGAATCCATATCAGATCCTCCGGTTCTGTCCCACAGCGACGATGAGTGTTGCGGGAGGAAATTCACCGGAGGCGTCTCCAGGGCTCTGGGGGTCCGGGGCACATTGTCCTTGAGATTGAGAGGCACTGGAGGAAGCGGCTTCCAGGCATATGTATCGAGCGTTGTCTGCCAGTCTCCGGAGTCCACTACGGCCCCTCCTTCGTCGGCTACTTGGTGCATACAGACTTCTGAATCACCAGACTCCCACACATCAACTGATCGCAGTAATGGTCCAAATTGCGTAGACAGGTCTACGACATCCATAGATTGGGCTCTGCGACCTTCCCGCGGGGCTCATCGGTGGTCTCTCTACATCAGCACAATGGCCCTCTTTTACTATGCAGTCGGGTGGGTCCAAATACAGGAGGATGTATTTATAGCACGGCCCTGGAGCATTTCTTGGAATGACGCGGCGGGTCTGCTTTAGGTGAAATGGGATTGCCTCCACATGTGCTTTCGGAACAATATATAGTAAGGGTCACGGATTTGTTCGCCTTCATTATCTGCAACGTATGGCCCGCTCTGGGTGGATGAGAGCTATTACCAAGTCTGGTCAGAATGCAGGTACCAACGAAGGGCTTGGGCATCCTACGGACATGATGCACGCCGAACTGACCGCACGTGAGCCTTGCCATTTCTGTCCTCGTCCAAAAGTAAAACCGTCGGACGAAAACAAAGTCTAGTTGTTGCTGATCCCTCGTTCTTTTCCATACAGTCCGGGAGACCAAATCGTGTCCAAATTCTATATTTAAGTTTTTGAGACTGGCTCATGACCGCTTTTTCAGCACCCTCATATCTTTGGCTTGTTCAGTAGCATAGAGATCCAAGCTTGCTTGCTCTTCAATCAGCGACCATCTGCCGTTCCTCGTTCATATTGAGACGGAGAACCTCGGAAGTAGATCTTGGACCAAATTATACTTGCTATGCAGTTCATAATAGTGTACTGAAAGTTCCTAGAGATTGTTCGCCAGGAGAGAATCATTCCTATCGCAGCTTCCAGCAGGCAAGGATAAATTGGCAGTCTCTCCCGGGAATTCATACTGTAATCCTTCGCGTCGTACGAACATAATCTCAACTCACTCAATGTCGGGTCTGTTTTATATGAACACTCTCCACTCCATTGCTGCTATTCTATGGATCATTCGCGATGCAGAGACGTCTCTCTGTCTCAAAGTGGCCTATCTGACTCTCGTAATGTTTATGTTTCTGATTCCGTAACTATTTCGTATAAGCAGCGCCCCGACATTAGACCAGTCGGCAGACTTCCATACTATTAGTCTCTGATTATGAGAGCATATGCGATGTTTTCGTTCCCCTGCGATATTTTCAATTGTTTGAAATCTACTTTTTTGAGAGAATTAGAAATTCATGCTCGCCGGATCGAGCAAAGGAGGGTATATCAACGGGAGACCTCAAGCGTATCCTTCGAGGGGAGGGACTGGCGCGGGGCCTATATTGCCATTCGCCGCACCTTGATGGCTTTCCGGATGCTCATGCTTGGCTCTCGTGCTTGGCTCCCTGGCTCCAACCCCGTATCAATAATTATAGGTGAGCGAAACTGAGAGTCGCGAGACGCCGGTATGTCGAGCTCATCCATTTGGAACATATCTGGGGTTCCACATGCAGTCGTCTTCCTCGTCTGTGAATGGAGTATGGTGTTGTTTGAAACGGGAATGTCTCGGGAATAGCAGTTGGGAGGAAGGGTCGGGCCGCAAGATACTGATTTGAAGGCGATCGAGCGGCAGCCAGGTGTTTTGATGATTCCACAGGAACAGATTCGTTCTGGCATTGAGGGACTGCTTGCAATTGCTGGGGCCTCCGTCTCGCGCGTCGAGCGCCGCGAGCTGAACTGGTAGACTTTGGCCGGATACCAATTCGGATGCCTTGTTGGGGCTTTCAGCTTGGCGGTTGCAATGGCTCGCGTTTCGATCTTGGGTGGCGGGACCCCGATCGCCACCTGGATCTGCGAGGGAAAAATGGCAGGATGGGACATATTTGGAACACAATGAAAAGAAGACATGATACAGGGACAGCGTTGTCGCTGCCGACCCTTTATATATCTCAAAAACTTCTGCCCCACACTCTTAGCCGAGAGGAAGGTGGCCATCCAGCGCAACCAACATGAGATCCATACCTTCGCTCGCCTGCTGCAAAATGGAAACCTCACAATACCTGCGAGTTCACTTGGTTTGGTATACGCAAGGCGCCAGGAATTGGCTTTTGATCGTACCCATGGGGGGGAGCTCGATAAGCAAATATCCACTGAAACGGGGTATCGTAGGCAATCTGATTACCGATCATTTCGTTCGACCAAAGGCTCTGTGTGGACAGTTCAACCCAAGCGGCCCTACTTTCCTGCTCTCTTAAATCTTCTTCTCTTCTTTTATCGAAATCGATACATGTGGAAAGGCCGGGTTTTGAATCGACTCCATAGATACAAATGATCGATTCTATATCCCCTTATGTGACGAAAATTGGAGGAGTGCGGCGAGACGCGCCCCTCATCCGCGTAAAGAGCAGCCGGATACCTCAAGCCATCGAAGACTAGCGGAGTGGTTGGAGTAGCGTTGTACACCTAGTCTTTGACTCCTCGGTAATGCTCCGGTGGTTCTGTTACGGTGTAGTATGTTGTGGTATATAGCGATCCAGGGATGACGGAACAGGATGTTTCATCATGTTATGCCTTTGGGCCTAGTGGTGAGCACACCTGGGTGCTAAGGGCTTAACAGGTTCTGAACTGCGCTGATTTTCTCCAAGGCCCTCTCGCCAGCAGAGCCTCGGGCTTCCTTTCAAGGATCCTGGATTTGCGATGGGAAGGATTGAGTTGGTAGAAAACATGTCCGCGGGTCATAACCAACTGCAGGCTACGGAGGGGAGGCTACCCGGAGCTTTCTAATTCTACAATGGGGCTATGATCAAGAATTCTATACCTATCGAATTTACTACTGGCCACATCTTAATCTGCACATTATGCTATCTATATATTATAAAGAGAGATTCTACGGTACAACGGCGCTTTGGCTCACCCTTGATCTGATATCCCCAAAATCTACAATTCCTTACCCACCGGCCATTTTCCCACCAAAACTGACCAACTTTAAACCCTCTAATCTTCTTGAAATTATATGACAACATATTTTTTAAAAATTTTAAAGTAGAACATAATTGCCAAATAATTATATGTTCTACACAAATTATGTCAAAAACACTTTTATTGAAGACTTGTGGATTTTTAAACCCAAGGGAAAAGACCTAGACAGCGAGTTTACTATGGGCGCCTATATATATAATCAACATCTCAACCAATTTCGATACTTCAACCATCCACCACCACCTTTTAACAACCACACATACTGGATCATTCGGAAATAAGTATTCCGTTTATCTAATGTTTATGTTTTATTAAATGCTACCTAGGTATAACATAGGTCATTACCTAATAGGTTACAAAACATACAATGCTCAAAAATGGTGATTTTTGGTGTACAAAAGCAAGTGGGTAAGGACTTATGGCACACTATGTACCTCGAGATACTCCCTCTCCTCCGAGTCAATCACGGCAAATCTAGCAGGGAAGCTAAAACGGCGGCCTCTCTTCCCGTTCGCCGGCCTGAGGTAACGCTGGTCATTCAATATGGACCGAATAGTAGGTGCAGACCATTCAGGGATCTCGACAGTCAGGGATCTCTGTCGAGATCCACGCAGCACATCCATTGAGAGACCGGCGGATAGTCACCAGACAGCTGTCCTATCTAGAGCCTCATCTGATATGATAGAACATATCTCTCCCTGGGCTCTGCTTTGAGCAATGAATGTAGATTGCGAGTCTTTGATACCGATATATATACAGGACTCACTGCCTGGGTATACGGTTCTTTGTAACATCGAATTAACAGCAGCCACACCCGTATTTCTAGAATATTGATATAAAACCCCATCCCTATGCTTATAAATTATGGCGTGAAGAAGCTAGCAACTTCTGGGTCAATCCAAAACAAAGGACAAGAACCTCAACAATCCCACGGATAACAGACTAGGCGATTGAAGAGAGGAGAAACAGAGGAAAGATATACTAAGGTATCGAATACTCGCAACTCACAGGTCACCCACCACTAAGCATGTACTCCGCGTATGGCAATGTTGTCGCGACCAGTGACCACCAAAACCACGTTTTTACCCGGTCCAAGTGCTTTCGCGAGACCAATGGTCTGGTTCACTGCATGGCTACAATCCAGCCCGGCGGAGATGTTCTCGAGACTTAATATCTCGAGTCCCTTGATGGCGTCCTCATCAGTAGCCGTGGAAACTTCTATCCGGCCAGCATGTTTCCAGTTGGCCACCTCTGGGCCTACAGTCGACATATTCATATCGGGTGAAATAGAATGCGAGTCAAGAATCTGACCCTCCTGGCTCTGAAGTAACAAGGTGCGTGCACCATGGAGCACTCCCAGCTCACCGTTGGTCAGGGCCGCAGCCCCGGCAGCTTCCACCCCCACCAGACGCACCGAGTCGTCCTGTAAGAATGGTTGGAACAGCCCCACAGCACCGCTGCCGCTGCCGATGGCGATAACAAGCGCGTCCGGATGAACACCAACGTCCTGGAGCTGGGCCCCGACTTCCATCCCCAAGAGGGATTGGAAGGTGCGGGTGATGGTGGGCAGGGGGCTTGGTCCCACCGGACTACCCATGAGGTAGTAGGTTGAGTCATGGTTACAAATGGCATAACGCAGGGCCTCGGCGATGGCCGCGCGCAGACTACCCATACCCGAGGGCGTGCGAGTGGTCAAGACTTTAGCTCCGAGTAATTGGATTTTGACCACGTCCGCATGCTGGGCATCGGCGTCATCCGTCCCCATGACCACGACGCAGCGCAAGCCAAGGCGGGCGCACATGACCGCCGTGAAAGCGCCGTGCTTTGCGGAGGCACAATCAGTGACGACTTCCTGGCGGCCCATGCGTTTGGCGAGAAGGACCTGGCCGGTGATGTTGCGGGCTTTATGGGAGCCAAATTCGTTTTCGTCCTCGCGCTTCAGCCAGATGGTAGCACCGCCGGCCAGGGTTGTTAGGTTTCGAGCTATTTGAAGTGAGGTCGGGACATGGTGGAACCTGTCATGTTCGGACCAGAATGCGGGGTCAGAGACTGTCGCCTCGAAGCATGATGTCAGTTCGTCCAGGAATCCTATAATAGCCTCAGGGGCGAACCGCCCGCCAAATGCGCCGCAGCCACCCAATGCCAACTGCGGGACCTGTCGGCCACCAATCGC